GGGGGGGGGGGGAGAGGAGGGCCATAGGGCCATGTGTGTGTGTGTGTGTCGATCAGGACCTGCGTGCCGCTGAGCGGATATCAAACCTCGATGCCTTCAGGTGGCTCAGCCAGCCAGACAGACAGGCAGACGGGCATCGCTGTCACCTCTCCCATGCCTCATTCCCCTGTCTGTCTGTCTCTCTCTCTGTCTGTCTGTCTGTCTGTGCTTTGATTGTCAGGCGTGGCATATCGTCGATACTGGTGTGCACCGACCTGGCGGCCCGTGGGCTGGACATCCCCAGGATAGCCACGGTTATCCAATTCGACTTCGCCCCCAATGTGGTGGCCCACCTGCACCGGGTGGGCCGGGCGGCGCGGGCGGGGCGCGCCGGCCACGCAATCAACTTCTACGGCAAGGACAGCGAGGACCTCGTTTCCATGATACAGGAGTCACTCAAAGTGGCAGAGGAAAGGTCAGCAGACAGGCTGGGCCCACCCCTCTGCACCCTTCGTGTGTCTGCAGTGCGCATCTCTGTGTGTGTGTGCAGGGGCAGTGACGGCGGTCTGTTGGAGCAGGCATTCAGTCGCAATCGGAGCCTGCGGAAGAAACTGAGGAAACAAGAGGTCAGTAAGTGAGGGAGGGAGGGACACACCGGCCGGCGTGATGGTTGCGTGTGTGTTTGGTGTGTGCTGCTGCAGAGGAGTGGCCAGGACACAGCGGGGCGGGCAACAGTGCCATCTTGATTCGATCAGGGAAGGACTGACACATCCATCCATGTGTGTGGCTGCCCTTGTGTCAACGGGTGGATGCGATGCGCTCGAAGACTTGGTTACATACATCATCAAGTCAGTGCTTGTGGCGAGTGAGTGGTGTGTTGGTTTTAACTTCATCCAATCAAATCCCATCCATCCATCCATCCATCCATCCATCCGTCATGTCGCCACCAGCCACGGACCTCAACGCGACCTCAAACAAACGCGATTCCGGTCGTTCCGTCTCGTAGATCGCATCCCGTCCGTTCTGTCGCCCCGTCGTGATCTTGATTCGTCTTCCCTCGCGCCTGAATCGCCTGGCTGCCTTCCTGGTACCCATGCGTATCCGAACACGGAAGGGATGCGTTCGTGCGTTTGTGTGTGGGGGGGTTCGTTGAATCAGATTCATGGCTGAAGTGCTGCTGTGGTGTGGCAGGTAAGGTTCATTTTGGCACCTCCCTCTCTGTCGCCTCACTTACAGCACCATCGGGTGCGCTGCGCACGCGTCCACACTGGTTGGCAAGGTGGTCCACCCCTTAATTGTCGTGTCACTTTGTCTTCTTGCGCACCGGATCTGGTGCGCATCAAGATCTGCAGACAGATACACTCAACCGCGCACACACACACATGCTGTCTGTGCGGCTGTCTGGCTGTGAATGGAATGTGCTCAGTTTGGCTGCGGCAGTTCCCTGCCTTAATTGTCCTACAGCGCTATAGCGGTCTATCTGAGCAGAACTCAAGACAAGCAACATGGGGCAAACACAAGCAAGATCCGACTCGATGGAGCACCCGGAATTTGACGAATGGGGACACAGCTTCCCCAAGGTGGAGAACATCCGCTACTTCAAGCTGGAGGACAGCTCCTTTTCGCTCTCACATAACCCGGGCGACTGGATAGACAAGGGACGCTTCAAGACCGTCGGGTGGGTATCTGATCAGAGAGACAGTAGAGGGAAGGGTGTGTCTGAGAGTTGAGTGTGTGTATCTGGCTGGCAGGGATGTGTGGAAGTACCTGCTGTGGTTGGGAGAGGCGGGACGTCACCAAACGGGGTATTTGAAGCTCACTGGCTATGACGACGTCGAAGACGGCACACTCATCGGCGACAAGTGCGTGTGCGGGCGAGGCGACGGACACGCCCTGTGTGTGTGTATGTGTGTGTGTGTGTGTAGGGGGAAGACGCAGAACGATCCGTTCATCATCAAGAAAGTGCGTATGGTAGGTGGGCACAGACCACAGACATGCAGCGAGATCACAAGGATCTCTCTCTCTGTCTGTCTGTCTGTCTCGTGTGTGTGTGTGTCCACCCACCCCACCGTCCGTCCGTCAGGGGATATTGAGATGATGGAGGAGTTGAAGCAAGGCACACACCACTGGTCAGGCACATACGACTGGGGTGTCTTCCATGCTGACCACACGGACGGACGCGCAGCAGTAGCGGGAGGGGTGAATGAGTGAGGTGAGCCTCACGACGTGCGGAGCGGATGCGCCAACATTTCTTTCAACACTCGGCTGGCTGAGCTGGCTGAGTTTGTGTTGGTTGGATTCGGAGACAGCGGGGATTGATCTGTCTGTCTGTCTGTCTGTCCGACCATCAGAAAGCCAGTTTGTGTCTTTCTCTTGCGCACCCACACGCACAGACAGAATTGCACACACCGCACGGCACGCACATCGGATTCTGCCACAGGACACGACCGATGGACAGACAGACAGACAGACAGATAGACACTGGTTACCCTTCCCGTGTGACGTGAGTGACATTTGTTGGAACCTTTCTGTCTCGGAGGACTGACTGGTGCGGTGCATACTGCTTGATGCGTGGTGACTAACGTTGGTGACGGCATTCACGTGTAGATGAGGCATTCATCCATTCGGACGCAGAGCTCCCTGATGGATCTAATTAATCTGCCCCGTGTCTGTCGCTCAGATGGCATGGGTCGAACGAATCCTGACTTACCTGACTGAGGGACTTGCCTCCCACGTGAGTCCTTCGCACTCAGCTCACCTGACGCACACAGATCCATCCATCCATCCATCCACCTTGTCCGACGCCACCCACGCTAATCGACGACCGACATACATGAACCAGCCGATATATAATGGTCTAGTATATGTACAACAAACACAATACAGACCCACTGGCTGCAGGCGTCGGTCTGTTTGTCGTTCATCCACACGCACGCCCCCCCGCCCCCCCTCCCCGGCCCCCTGCCTGACTTTGTGGTCAATGGCGGGCAGCCATTGACCACGGCGGGCACACAGCTCACCCCACCCACTCACTGTCTGTCCGTAAGTGTGTCCCCCATGGCGTGGTTGGCTCTCCTCTCCTCGACCAATCCTCCAGCCGCTTGCCTTGCCCGCCGCGTTCATTCACTGGCCGAACATGACGTGCAGGAGCTCCTCAAACACGGGCTTGGATAACCTGACGGACGACACAGACCGACACACATCAGGTTAGGTTAGGTTACACACAGAGAGGGGAAGCTCTGTATATGCCACTCACTCCTTCCCTCAATCCCCCGCTCCCCACCTCCCCACTGACTGCCTGACCTGTAAGCGAGATAGTAGACAGCCCCGTAGATGGCCCCCGCACAGTGGCCGATGATGTCGAGGTGCCCCGTGGCCATGTCGAGCAGCAGAGACGCCAGGAGCACCAGAGGGGCCCGCATGGGGTAGCCCAGGAAACGCATGACTCGATTGGGGAGGTGGAAGGCGTGGAAGCTCATCATCGCATACATCCCGCCGTTGCCTGCAGGATCCAACCAACCAACGATGTGGGCATCAATCAATTAACTAAACAGTAAGCTCTGTGTGTGTGTGTGTGTGTGTGTGTGTGGCTCACTTCCGAGTCGCTCCACGTTCTGGTGCAGCAGCAGCTTGGAGAGGACCACCGAGCACAACAGAGAGAACACACTCCCACCGATGTACAACCTGACAACAACAAACACCACACGGTCATACATCCTTGTTGGCCTCAATCGACTTCTCCCCATCGCACCGCGCCCATCGCCGACCCGATCCGACCTGTAGAAGGCAACCGCACCCAGGCTCCTTCTTAGCTCGGGTGAGAAGGTCAGGTAGGCGAACACATTCACTATCAGCTGGAACACATCCGCGTGCGACAGCGGCGCCAGGAGGAGCGACCACGGGCGGGCGTAGAGGTTGTGGTACGACGCGACGAAGTGCTTGCCGACGAAGATGCGGGCCAGCTGCCAGAGAAAGAAGACGCTAATCTGTGTGACGACCAGGACGTTGAGCTCCTGCTCGATGGTCCACTTCTGACGCATCGCGGGGATGGGGATGCCCAGAGAGAACCAGTGACGCGCAAGCCCTGACAACACAGGCAGCCAGGCAACACACACACACGCACACACACACACCTCTCTGTGTCTGTATGTGTCCTTTGGTGCCTCATAGGTATCTCTTTCACTCACCTATAAATGTGTCCCGCGGATGGAAATACACGCTGCAGACGAGAAGGTCATAGTAATGCCGCTCCTGCGCACAGCAAAGTAACGCACACACACCAGACACTCCTCCATCCATCCATCCATCCATAAGTGCCTCCAGCCATGGTTCTATCCATCCATCCATCCATCTCTGCCCGGACCTGGACGCCCAGCCACTTGGCGCTATCCTCGAGCAGCCCCTGTAGCTTGGCCTTGATGTTGTGCCGCTGGGCGTGCATGTACCGCCGCAGATCTCTCTCGCTCGGGTTGGTCAGGTAGAGGCACACCAGCGCCGCTGACACGCAACACACTTGCACGGGGACGGTCAGCCGTATCCGCCACCGTGTAGGTCTTCTGGGTGTGGCGGCAGCAGGCCGCCGGGCTGCCCCTTCACCAGCAGCGGAATCGGTCCGCCGCTCCTCGACCATGATTTGATGAGTAAGCTGCACCGTCAAGTGATTTCTAAGTGACGTGGAAAGCCGACACACCAACGAACGATGTCGCCTTCGGGACTCGTACTTCTCAGCTCGCACTTTCGAGAGGACGATGGCGGACATCACTCCTCAGGTACAGGCGGATGCATCAGAGTGCATCCATCTCCATCCCATCCCATGCATCCCTCTGCTTTGTGTGTGTCTGCCTGTCATGTCACGACAGGAGTACGACAAGATCAGTCGTGCCTTCCGCCATCCCGAGTTCCGCGGCCTCTTCCAGGAGTACGTCGATGAGATATCAGACCCCAAACACAGAGAGGTGGGCGTCATGCCGACAGTGTCATTCGGGTGCATGCCTCTGTCTGTCTGTCTGTCTGTCTGTCTGTGTCTGTGTGTCTGTGTGTTTGGTTAGGAGCATGACAAGTACCTGCGTGAGCTGGAGGAGAAGGGCGAGGGCAAACCCGGCCAGCGGCTCATATTCCCTGAACCAGGTACGTAGGTGGGTGAGAGATGGGATGCGCGATTGGGTCTCTGTTTCTTTGCACGCCTATGGCCGGTATATGTCTGTGTATGTCAGGATGTTGCGTTAAGACGGCCGTGCAGCACCCCAACGGCTCGCAGCAGAAGCTCTTCATCAACATATGCCAGTCGGAGAGGTCGGTGTGCTGTGGCAGCACCCACCATATGTCTGTTTGTGTATGTGTGTGTATCTGTGTGTCTGCGATGCGCATCCATCAATCAGGGTGCATGACATGAAGCAGACGAGTCAGGACGGCGGCACCAGTGTGTCGCTGCCGTACGTCCTGGGCAACCCCAGACCTGACAAAGACCACAGTAAGCAAACACAGCACGCGAGAGGCAGAGCAGCAGTAGGCCATATGACGATGAGATGGGTGTCTGTGCTTTTTGATCTAATGTCGATCAGACGGCGCCGGCTGCCTGACGTGCGACATGTGTGTGGGCACGCTCACCTACAAGAAACTAGAAGGTCAGGCAGGCAGGCAGGCAGTCGCCTCCCATCGCTCCACAGAGCACAATAATCACACTCACTCACAGCCGCATCCATCCATCCGCCCATCCATCCATCCGCCCTATGTCGTCAACGACCATTGCAGATCACCGCATCATGAAGCTGTGTGTGGAGGAGGCGTCCAATGGGATGAAAAGGCGGTACTTCACCAACAACGAGGAAATCAAGAAAGGTGCCTGCCTCGTCAATCATCACCATGAGTGTCACCATCAGTGAATGCCTCTCTATGTGTTGTCTCTTGTGTGTTGTCTGTTGGTGTTGTGGAGCAGATTTCAAGGTGCTCAAGTACGTGCGTTGCAAGGGCGACAAACCATCGCCGCTGAGCGTCAACGAAAAGGAAATAAAACCTCTCAAGGGCAAGGGCAAGAAAGACAGCACCAACAGGTGAGGCAGACAGAGGGGCACACACACACACAACACAAACATATAGATAGGTGGGGAGAGGAGAGAGGGGCAGGGAGGGAGGGAGGGAGGGAGGACGCACCTGCACCGCACACGCACTCCGTTGAGTCATGGTGTCTACTGCTGTCGAGTGAGTCATCGTGAATTAGCGAGTGCCACAAAGACACGCCTGTCTGTCTGTCTGCCTCGCAGCCAGACAGAGAGGGAGGGAGAGGGTACTCGGCCTTGTGTGTCCCACACTGCACACACCAGGGTCATATGACCCTCACACAATCTGAATGTGTGTCTGTCTTGCTTCCCTCCTCCCACCGTCCGTGTGTCTCTCCCTGTCTGTGTGTTCTGTATCAGAGCCCTCTCTGGTGCGCCGAGTAGCAGCGCCAGGGCGGCACCGCCCGACGACGCCGATGAGTCCATCACGCCTGCCGAGGTGAACCGGCTGCTGGACAAGCTCAAGAAGGACAAGGCTCACAAGGAGGGCAACACACTCGACCAGCCCACGACGCAGGAGGAGGCCACGACCGCTCCTGCTGCCGATGCTCCGCCGTCAGCGAGCCCTCCTGGTGGTGGTGGTGGTGTCAATGGCGTGAAGAGTGAAGATGAGAAGGGCGGCGAGGGGCAGGCGGCTGGTGCTCAGGGTGTGGTGAAGCCCACCTACAGGATCATCTATGGCCAGGGTGAGACAAGCGGGCATCGTGTGGGTGGTCGTGCTTGTTCACGAGCGCGTGGTGCGTGTGTTTGTTCAGGTGAGTTGCGCATCGAGGGCACTCTGGGTCACGCCCATGCCGACAAGTACCTACCGGTACGAACACACACAACAGAAAGACTTCCATATCGATGCCTGCCTGCCTCCCTGAGTGTCTCTCTCTCTCTCTCTCTGTGTGTGTGTGTGTGTGTGTGCAGTCGGAGGCGTTGCGGCCGGCCACCAGCCTGAAGGTGGAAGTGGAACTGCCAGGAGTGGTCAGTCAGCCAGCTGCCTCGCTCGACAGACACACGTTGACTGGGGTTGTGTTGTGAATGAATGCATTGGATGGGATGGGGTGGGTGCGGTGCATAATGCAGTCGTCAGCAAGTGAGATCAAGACAGCCGAGTTCACCACCGACACCCTCACTGTCGACGTCCCCCACAGATACCACCTGGTCAACAAACGCAGAGAATACCATACCCATCGAATGCCCTCTCTCATTTGTCCATCTGTGTGGGGTGTGTATGTGTCCGTGTGTGTGTGTGTTCTCAGCAGGAGCTGCCCCTGCCCCTTCCCGTCAAGTATGACGACGGCACTGCCAAGTTCCAGAAGACCAAGGCCGTCCCCACGCTCAAGCTGGCCGTCCCCGTAGACATCGATGCACTCAAGGCCAGGCGCAAGGCCAACACGCCCACACCCGCGCCCGCACCCGACGACAACGCCGCACCCCCGCCAGACACACACACGGCGAGAGGCCAAGGAGAGGGCGACCATAGCCAGCAGACGACCAACGGCAGCCATGAGACGGAGGCTGCTGCGGCACCTGCCCCTGCTGCTGATGTGGTGGCTGCTCCTGAGGTGGTCGCCAGCCGCTCCCAGGCTCTCTGTGATGAGGAGCTCGGCACTGGCTCGGCACTGCACATAGTCGGAACAGGCGGCGAAGCAGTGCAGTCAGCAGACGAGTCGGCACAAAATGGCAACCAAGACCAAGACCAGGATGCCACAGCATCGGCAGCAGCAGAGGAGACGCAGGAAGGCCCCATTGCAGGAGACGCTGCAGCGGCACCGTCCGAGCAGCGTTCGAGCGAGAAGTCCGGCACCATCCTCACCAGACCACAGAGAGACCGCGAGGCGCTCAACGGCGACCTGGTCGAACGGAAACAGCCCCCCGAAGAGCAGAGGGACGATGACGATGACCAGACACCTCTGCTGACCAATGGCTGTGCCCCTCGCCCCTCCCCCTCCTCGTCCATCAGGACCAAGGTCTACGACTACCCCGACAACGCCGCCAGCGTCATATCGGTGCTGCTGGAGCTCAGCGGCACCACCACCATGCCCAGCGCAGTGGAGATCGCGGTGCCGCATGGTGAGGGCAGTGAGAGGCAGCTGCAGATGACCCTCCTCCCTGGCGACGGGTGCGGATGGGAGATGATGGTCGTGGCGCCGCTCAAGGTCACCCGCACATGCGACCTGGTTCTGGAGGAGACGCGGGCATTCGGCGTGACCTTCAACGGCCTGCAGATCCATGTGGAGCTTACCAAGAGAGCGGCGGACACACCGCCATCAGCCGCCACTCGCGTGACGGTGCCGATCAAATGGCGGGAGCAACAGAGGTTGCCAGCAGACGAGGAGGGAGGACCAGAGGCAGCAGAGGAGGGTGCCGGCGAGTGCGGTGAGGGGCGTGAGGGGGACGATGGCGACGAAGATGAGTTCACGGATATGCCGCTGCCGAGTCTGTCTGAGGCGCTGTCTGGGGACCGGTCGGTGCTGAGCATGCATGGGATCGGCACGCAGGTGACGCTGCGGGACCAGAGCTCCTGGAGGTATAGAGAGTAGAGTGAGGGACGGACGGACGGCGGGAGGGCCTGTGTATACGACGCATGCGTAGCTGTGTGTGTGTGCATGTCTCTGTGTCTGTGGAGAACACCCCTGCCTCCGTGCTGGTGCGCGGTTGAATGGGCGTGTGGAAGGCCTCACTGTTGCATGGCTTGATTGTCCGTCCGTCCGCAGATGAACCGCGCACACAACAACACACCGACACACACACACACATGCAGAAGCCGACTCTACAGACAGAGAGACATGATACGTTCAGACACGCAACAACCTGTGTGGACACTTCAATGCACTGCCTGATAGTGTATCTTCGGTCCTGTCTTGGCCACCATTGTGTGTTCCCATCGGGTCACCAGAGCGCGTTTGAGGCTGGCCGCAGCTCCCACTTGCAGGGCTGCGGCCGTCTCAATCACCCAAGGGCAACCAGATGCAAACACACAAAGGTCCGCAACATCCCCGGCAAGGTCAACCAGAAAATCAGACGACTTCCAGCAAATAGGTGTGTGCAGACGTGCTAGTGTGTGGGGTAAGTGAGTGTGGGTAGACAGATGGAAGACACACGAGCTCTCCATACCATACCATACAGGAACAACCATACCTACAGCCAGACAGCCACCCAGCCCACTGCGAACACTGCCATGCATCCAGGCACAGCCATTCCGACAACACACACACACACACACACTCAGACACACCACTCTCCGCTATGCTACACACACGTACCCACCCATTTTGTCTGTCTGTCGATAGAAAATCAGAGTGAGTGAAGCATTGAGCGAAAAATCGGCGTTGGTTGGGCCAGGCGACTGTGTGGGGTGGGTGGGGTTGCCCTCTTTCTGGTCTAGACGACTTCGGACAGCAGCATGGCGCTCTCCTCAGGCGGCCTGGCGCGGTACTCGAGTATGGCCCTGTCGCCGTCGATGGACACCTCGAGGTAGGCCTCGGGCCGCGCCGCCTCGATCTTGGCCATCTCCTTGTTATACTCATCCACACCAACCTTGACACCCCACAAGATGCCTGACCAGCAACAAACACACACACATCCATCCTGCTTTGTTTGTGTCGCCCGCCCTCGCCGCCTCACCTCCCAAGAGGACCACGACGACGACAACGGGGTTGAGGAGGGCACCGACGACCTCCACGCCCGCTATCTCAGCACCGACAGAGCACATGGCGCGAACAAACACGCCACCCGCAGCGGCGTAGACGAGCCTCTTGGCCCCTTGCCCCGCTGCCCGACCAATCTGCCGCAGACGGTCGATGGTCGACATGGCCATCACCACCTGGCGATGACAAAACATCAAAACAGCACACACAGCTGCAGTGGGTGCCCCATCCTTACGCACTGTGTGGCTGTCCGTCGTTGGGTCACTCACCTGTATGCCTATTTCGCTGAGTCGTGCGTTGACCTCTTGGAGCGCATCGCCTGGCACCGAGTAGGAGTGGCAGGCCATGGTGTCCAGCTCCTTGTGGTCCCTCACCGCATCCAGGAACGACTCGAAATCCTTGCGGATCGTCCGCTTCCTGCCCTTGATGTAGAAGCTCTCGCCCATCTCGGCCGCCGACGCCCGGCTGCCCGCCCCCACCTCCTCCGACTGGATGGTCTGCAGCGACACCACCGACTCGTTGTCATTGTCGCCAAGGCCCTCGTCGCGACGCGGCACCAGCTGGAAGGACTGCTCGTCCGCGAAGCTGCCGTACAGGCTGCCCACGGCTGGCCCGGCCGCCGACTGGCCGACCTTGGCGAACTGCTCCGAAGGCGAGACGAGGTCGCGGACGAAGGAGCCGGGGATGGCCGGGTGGTAGACCTCCACACGGGGCATGAAGTTGTTTGGTTTGTTGAAGAACGACGACACGGCCGCATCGTCTGCGATGGTGAGCTTCTCCTCGCCAGAAAAGCCGACAAAGGTGACCTCGCGACCAATGTCAGTCGATGCCGAGGCGGGTGCGCTGGGCAGGCTGCCTCTGACGATTTGGCGCAGGTGGTCGAGGGTGGCAGGGATGACCGTCTGCAGCAATGCACACACACACGCGCGCGCGACCAGGGAGTCAGGCGACACAGGGTGCAGTTGCAGTTGTGCGTGACAGTGAGGGTGCGAGTCGAGCCGATTTCCTACCTGTCGGACGATATGTGAGCCTGCCCCTGACCCGATGACCAGCTTCCAGCATCCCGTCACACCCGATGACGCCATCATGCACCGGATGTATACGCAGACAGGAAGGAAGGCTGGCTTGCACGCCTCTCTCAAGGCAGCACAGCCTCTCGATAACGGTAGTGCTTTGGACCTACTTCACTTCGCCAACTGCGAGCTTTACACATCAGCTCGCATACTCTTCCCTGCCTTTTCTTCTGTCCCACGACCATGCACAGAGCACAGCCAAGCGGATGAGTCATCCTCCATTCTCTTGCTGGGGGCTTCCAAAACAATCCGACGACCTTTCCTCGACAGGACCCTCAGTCAGCTGTCTGTTTCCGCTTCTTCTGACGGTTTCCACCGGCGCCGCGCTCGATTTCTTTTTCCTCCTTCTGCACTGACTGGATGTTGATTGACTGATTGGCGATAATTCCCATGTCGAGGACGCGGCCCCTGCTGGACCTGCGGGAGCAGCACCTGACCGATGTGGACCTCTCCCTCTATCCAAGAGTCGAAGAAATAGGTCAGCATCGACGTCAACCAACAACGCTCATCTGCAATGACAGTTGTCTCAATCGGTTGTCTGTGTCGATCCGTCCGTGTGTGTGCCAGTTCTGGATGACAACCAGCTGACGGCCATCCGCTCTCTCCCCCGTCAGGTTCATAGTCTGTCCTTGCGCAGCAACCGCCTGCCCGTCATCAGCGAGGCGTTCGGCGAGGCATCGGCGCTGCAGGCCATCGATGTGGCCCAGAACCGGCTGGTCGCTATCGACCATCTGGCGCGCTGCTTCCACCTGCAGCACCTGGACCTCAGTGGCAACTTTCTCGCCGATGAGGCGCTCAGCTGCCTGGCGGGACTCAAGGTGAGTGGGTTGGCGGAGGGCCAACGAGTTGGAAGCGGATTGATTGTGGCATTCCAATTGATTGTCTGCGCGTGTGTGTGTGTGTGGATCAGTCGTTGCGTCGGCTGTATTTGCGCAACAATCGTCTGCAGGAGGCGGAGGTGTTCTTCCCGTGGCTCAACCAAATACCCCTAGAGGTGAACGAGCGACTGATGGATGGATGGATGGTAGATGTGTGTCGTATTGTGTGTCGGTGTTGGTTTGCAGGAGCTAGATTTGTGTGGGAATGCGTTGAGGGACGTGATGCCCTTCCTCCGGGGGGCTGCCTTGAGGTGCCTGTGGATCGCCGGCAACCAAATCGACACACTAGTCATCAAGTCTGTCAACCACACACACACACACACAGAGAGAGAGAGAGACCACCGTTGTCCTGTGTGTGTCTGTGTGTGTGTGTGGCCAGACACTCCCTGCCCGCATTGGAGCTGCTGGATGCCCGGGACAACATCATCGCAGGTGAAGGCAATATATATCAGAGCTTTGTACTTCCCGCTGGTGGCGATTTGTCTACTGTGCTCTCCTTGCGTTCAGTGGTTGACGGCTTGCCGCGTGCTCCTGTGCTGCGTCAGCTGCTTCTCGACGATAATAACATCACGCCATCAAACATCGACCCACACCTGCAGGTCACTACCATACCATCCGACACACAAGGCACTTTGAAGACCCCTCCATCCGTTCATCGATCATTCCGTGCGTTTCAGCACCAGGAACTGACTTCGGTCTTCCTCTCGCGCAACCGACTCGGCCACAAGCCAGCCACGGAATCATCGCCCTCTCAGCGCTCACCGCCATCGACATCGATTGACCCGCCCATTTCGCCAGACCGGCTCAGGTCACAGTATGCAGCCCCAGGCGCAGCGTCGCCCGCCACTGGCGTCACCAATGGCCGGTCGCCGCCCTCGATGAGCAGAAGCGGGTCGAGTGGGTCGCCTGGTCGGTGGGGTGGCGGCATGGGAGGCGTGGAGAGGTGGCACTGGCACATGGGCCGGCTGCAGGTGCTGGATTTGAGCTCCAATGGGCTGACAATGGTGCCTGACTTGAGGGGATGCCGGGCGCTGGAGTCTCTGTCCCTCAGGTGAGCAGGGAGGGAGGGGAGCGATCGCACACATCAAGACGTGTTGGTTTGCAGGGACAATGTGTTGGCGTCTTTGAGCGGCATGGCGACCAGCGATGAGCCCTTGTCGAGCCTGACCTTCCTAGACGCAGCGTACAACGCCATCCAGGACCTAGACGCTGCCACACTGGCGACCTTCGGTACGCAATAACTGCTCCACACACCATTCTTATAGATAGCAGATTCATGCTGCGTATGATGGTCCATCAGGTTCGCAGCTTCGCACTCTGCTCCTGATGCGCAATCCCATTGGCAACTGCGACAGGCTCATTCAGACATTCCAAAGCGGAGAGGTACGAACACACACAAGATGGCACATGGCACAGGTGACACCATTTCAGTTGCTGTGTCCTTGTCCCATCAGGCCGGCGAGCTCCGCCATTTGGATCTGCGTGACACTCCGCTGACATTCGCCTTCTATCCGGGCTCTCAGGTTTTGCCGGCCAACCCGTGGGAGACGACGCTCGACATCGCCTCATATGACCTGGAGACCGCCGCAGGCATGCCAATGGACGACGCCACTATGCTGGCCAGAGACCAATACAGGTGGGGAACCCATGTGCACAAAGTTCCCTGTCCTGTTCTCTCCCTTGTTCTCATGTGAGTGGGTCCCTTTCAATGGTTGTCTCAGGGCGTCTCTGTTGGCCGCGTGTCCGCTGCTTCAGACCCTCGATGCCATCCTGGTGTCGACGCACGACAGGCGCCGCAGCACCGACACGCCCCCACTCATTCCCAAGCCCTCCCCCCTGCCAGACAAACGGCTGTCGTTCAACTCGCAGGGCCTGGCCCTCCTGCCGCCACCGCCTCCCTCACACACCACCCTCGAGGACGGCTTCGCGTCAGTGACCCACCGGCTGAGGGAGAGGCCCTCCGGCAGCTTCGTCCTGGAGAGCACCATGGACGTGTCGCCCAAGCAGGGGGGCACCAAGGCATCGCCATTCCTGACGCTGACCAACCCCCAGGAGCTCGGCAGCTCGTTCGAGGCCTACTTCATGAACCCCGCCAGGCACAAGGGCGGCCAAGGGACTTTGCCGGTGGAGCCGCCGTCGGTGTCGCCACCAAGGACGCCGCCCCAGCCGACATCGCTGCATGGGCCGACGGGGCAGGTGCAGGACATCACCACCGGCTACCCCACGATGCAGCCATCGGACCTCAGGTACAGCAAAGAGGCGGTCCACTTCCACCTCGATCCTGAATTCGACACCCCTGTGGGCGCACGTGAAACCCATGACGGCTCCCCGTCCGGCGGCACCGACCTCAACATGACCCCGCGCACTCGGCAGCGCCGCACCTGTCGTGTGTGGATCCTGGCGCCCAGCAAGCCCGCCCACCTGCCGCCCAACAGCGTCACTGTCCCCTACGACATGGGCAACGAGGGGGGGACGCTCGTGCTGTCGCATGAGGCATCGTGGGAGGAGGGCGGCGGTGGCTCGCCCACACGCACATCCATCCAGCGGGCTGGTGGGCCGAGGCGGGATGCGATGGAGGCTGACGACGGGTCATCTCCTGAGAGGCCGATGGCGACGGACGTTCATGAACGGCCGCCAGCGCCGTTGCCGACAGGGGAGGTGCCGCAAGCCCTCCATCGTGCGATGGGCGATGCAACGGCCCAGTACCGGTGGACGTCAGCTCCGGCAATGGAGCAGCGACGGCCCGAGAAGCCTCAAGAAGGGCTGGGATGGTCCGGGAGCATCGTGTACGTGGAGACCCCCAGCCCCCAGCAGACGCAAATGCGGCGAGTGTCTGCCCCCGTCAGTCGCATCAGGCCCCATCTTAGTATGTCGCCAACATTCAAGCGTGCGCCCCTATCGACGTCGAGTGACGAGGACGAGAGGCTGCAGAAGGAGCGACTGGCTGGCCGTGGCCGCCCCAGCGAAGAGAGCGAGTCGCTCCACCTGACGCCGCCGGCAGGGAGGAGCGACGGCGGCACTCCTGATGGGTCGACAGGGGCGATGCGGCCACGTCTGGTCGGCAAGGCGTCGCTCGAGAGGATTCAAGAGCATGAAGAGGAACACATGCAGCAGGAGTCACCCCACTCTGGCGGTCAAGCCCTCCGCATGAGCCGCATGCCGTCTCGAGCTGCCGCCTCCCAGGCGCTGTCATCCCAGCCCTCTCTCCAGCCTGCTGCCTCACCCTCACGCGACGGCCTGATGGATGGATCTCCACGCCAGCCGGACAGCGGGAGGCTGCCGCCTTCTCGAGGCCAGAGCACCCGGAGTGTTGCCGCATTACCGGCTGAGGAAGGCGTCGAAAGAGACGGCCGTCAGCCCTCTCGTCACTCTACCAGAAGGGGCGACACGACCCTCAGAACAACACCTGACCGACAGTCGTCTCGGGAAGCCGCCAGAGAGTATCGCGAGATGGGTGACGAGAGGAGGCCGGCCAAGGAGGACAGGGGAGCCCACTCCATCTCTCGGTCACGTACGTACGAGCCGCCATCTGGCGCTCGAGCGGAGCCGCGCCAAGGTCATGTGGAGCGGGCCAGGACGGACCGCTTCGACGGCGTGATGGATGCTGCAGGGTCGACAGGGGCCTTCCACAACGGGGATGGAGCTCCAGCTGCAGCTGCGCGCACCGCTACCAGAGAGGATCCAACAAGGGAGGACAGCCGACCCGACGGCCTGTCGCCTTCCAGCCCGTCACCGAGGAGGCACCCTGACATGAACTACCGGCTAGACGACGCACAACCATCGCGTGGACCATCCCGTGCGCCATCTTCCATGCCCGTGTCGCCGTCAGCCGCGAGGCAGAGGGCCGTTGGTCCAGGTATGTCAAGAACGGACGGCTTTGAGGCTCACAGGCCACCAGAGCGGGACCCGCGTGGGCAGCGAGGCTTCGACAGTGGCTACGACAGGTCGGCTGCGGCGTCCCGAGCCCGCACACGAGAAGACATCACCTCTGACGGACGGGATGAAGCAGTCCTCAGGGAGTATGTGTCGCACGATGATGACAGCGGCCCACATGACCGTCAGGTCCCTGCCACCCGATCACCATCCAGGCGCGCTGAGACGAGCTACCAGCCAGAGGATGCGCAGCCACTAGGTGTGCCGTCACGCGGACCGTCCTCTCTGCCCGTGTCGCCATCAGCAGCGCACCACGTATCCTTCGGTCCAGACGGGGCCGATAGTTTTGACGATGGTCGGAGGGGACCTGCCATGGATGAGACGCTTGAGGGGCGATTGACAAGGACCCTAGGCGAGGGGGAGGTGGCTGCAGCCGACGAGCGTGAACACAGAGGGTCGGCTCCATCGCGGGGCCGCACCCAAGAAGGCCTGCGGTCAGAGGCAGCGAGGCCGCAGCCCTCAAGCGAGGACATGCAACGATACGATGAAGGTCCTGTCAGCCGATCGCCAAGCAGACGGGTCGACATGGGCTACCAGCCAGATGCTGAACTGCCATCGCCCCAGCGTCAGCAGCCCTCACGTCAGCCGACACTGCAAGGCGACACGGCCGCCGCAGGACCAGTCGACAGACAGCCGTCGAGGCAGCTAACAGCCGACAGGCATCAGGCGGAGGACGATTGGCAGAGGAGCGACGGTCTCAGGGATGATGGTGTCTCACGCTCTCGGACACACGAGCCATCGCGAGATGGTGCGGGGTCTCGAGGACCGTCTTTTCATGCCGAGAGGGCCATGACGGACCGATTTGACGACAGGCAAGGAGGGCCGATGCGCGAGAGGGAGATGCACGAGGGCGGCAGTGAAAGAGAAGTATATCAGCGTGACCAGCGGCTGCCTGGAGCCTTCCGAGCTCGCACACGAGAAGACATCGGCTCTGGTGGAACGGACCAGGACATGACGAGGGAGGACATGTCGCGCCAAGGCAGCCGACGGGACGGCGGGGGCTCGCCTGTCAGCCGATCCCTGTCCCGCCCAGCAGAAGATGATCAGCCATGGCCCCAATACAGCCGGGAGGAATCACGAGTGCCTTCCTCCATGCCTGTATCGCCATCAGCAGCGCGGCAGAAATCCCTGCGTCCAGAGAAGGTGCCGACGGAGCGATTTGATGACGTTCGCGGCGGGTCAAGAGAGGGGCGGTTCCAAGAGGGACTGCGCGAGAGGGAGGCGGGGCTCGGTGACGGTGGGAGAACGGACTATGACGGTGAAGGCGGCCCTGCGGCAGCTTCGCGCGGCCACACGCGAGATGACCTCATTTCTGATCGAAGCCAGGAGGTCACTGGCCATATTGTCTTGCGTGAGGACAGCCGATACGATGACCGACCGCCTACCAGCCGGTCACCGAGCAAGCACACTGATCTGCGCTACCGGCTAGACGACGCGCAGCCATCGCGTGGACCCTCTCGCGTGCCATCTTCCATGCCCGTGTCGCCATCGGCAGCACAGCAGATGAGGCACGAGAGGGGGCAATATCGGCAGCAGAGCTTCCGGCGGGATGGCCGCCCTGATGAAGCTTTCGACGAGCGACACTATCCAGCAGACGACCGTGAAGACCGCCGCTCGCCATCCCATAGCGATGTGGCCCCTTTCCGTTCCAAGGCGGGCGAAGGGCGCCAGCGCACTTACAGCTACGACGATCGCAGTGCGGCGTGGCCACCGCCCATCCCCATGCGTGATGCCAGCCAGTCCATGACGCCCCGACGCGACGATGACGACGGCTACGTCCGACCGCCTGCACAGAGGCCTGAGGACGAGAGGCTGCCGTTGCGGCACAACCAAGACGAAGGGAGAGCAATGGGCCCACCGGCCATCGCCGACAGGAGAGCGGCGGAATCCTTTCATGAAGACGGCAAGGGGAGCGGGGGTAGTGGGTCGCCGACTGCTCGAGTGTCTTTTCCGGACGCCCCGGACGAGCCGCCTGGTGCGCGCGGAGTCGACATGCATTACCGGCGAGGGGGGACAGAAGAGGACGGCCGCACCGATCGGGGCTATCCGCCTCACGACAAGCCCACTGGTGCGGACAGGCGCGACGATTATGTAGAGGAAGACGAACGGCGAGGAGACGCCATGGGTCAGCAACGAGGACGGGACGGGCGGCAAATGGCAGGGGAGGGGAGAAGTGAGTCGTTTGTTGAAGGTGCCAGGGGCAGGGATGACGGTTTGCCACCTGCCCGAGGGGGTTCCTTCCGAGATGGGCCAAGGAGGGCTGACATGTACGGCAGCCGCGAGCCTACGAGGGATGGCCAACGAGAGGTGGAGCTTCATGGGCGCGGTCCATCCACTCATGAGCTGGCAGCAGAGGACGACGGCTTCCCGGAGCGGGTCATTCACTTCGAGGGCACGGCTTCCATCCACGACTCACCAAGGTCACCTGGTCGGCAGCGAACACGGGAGGCTGCTGACATCGATGACTTTGCGGATCGCGGCCGCTCAGCACACGACCTGCCATCTGCAAGGGATAGATATGACGAGCGTGCCGTGGATCATCAGAGGGGTGCCTCCTTCTATGCAGGAGATGTGAGCCGTCAGCAGTCCCAGCCAGCGCCGCTTCAACCCTCTCGGGGCCCGACCGCCCAGCTGTCGCCACGGCAAGCCACTCGGGGATCAGCACACATGGAGAGGGGCCAGACATACCAGGAACACTATAAGGATTATGATGGTGAGGAAGAGCCGGAGCATGAGACGCTTTCCCGCCAGCCTTCGTCTTATCCCCCAGCCGCTCGGGACAGCCCAGGTCGATATGACAGCAGACGGGACCTGGAAGACGCTCGTGGTGCGAAAGACCTGTCGCCGCAGAGGAGCCGCGAACCCCTATCAAGTCGGCAAGCCTCGCGACCCCTCTCCAGTCGACAGCCGTCAGGCCCGCCGCATACACAGCGAGATGAATATGACCGGCCGTCAAGCCGCGATCTCCATCCAGGCCCTTTCCGGTCTCGCGATGACATGAGAGGTGCCGCATCGTACGCTGAGACCGATCGGGCGCTGTCGAGACCGACCACGAGACAGCGGAGCGAGGCTGTTGTGGATGAACAAGACGACACCGCACTTCGGCAGCAGCGATCAATGGGGACACGTCGAGAAGAGGACGGCAGGTCCCCGGCTGGGATGGGTCAGCGGCTTCCCTTTCACATCTCTGATGGGCGTCATCTTGCCCCCTCAGTCGCGGCATCGCGTCAGCCCACAGGCGAGCAGATCGCATACTCGCGCGAGCGGACCCGCGAAGAACAGCTGCCGCCTGAGGAGGAGCGGGTCGACACGTCGCATCGACCAGCCCGCGAGAGGGATCAGAGGCCGCCCCCTCGATCCGACAGCTCGCCTCTCGGACCAGACGAACGTCCCCCTGGCCGCCCACAAGCTGGTCGCACCCAGACGTGGAGCGCTGAGGCTCAGGAGGGCCCGACACGGACGTCCACAATGAGAGCGGCAGTGGATGATCGCAGCGGCATTGATGAAGGGGAGGTCGCTGCATGGATTGCCGAGTTCCTCGACACGATGGCTGCCGAGCTATCTGGGCAGGGCCCGCACATCCAGGGAGGAGAAGGTGTCGACGCGGGGACGGCTGCGCTCTTGAAGATCGTCGCAGAGGCGAGGCCGGCGGGTGGAAGGGACGGGCTGCCGGGGCGTGCGGCAACGCTCCAGCCCGAGCGTCTGCGTGATTTGTCCCGGCAACTGAGTGCGCCCAACATGAGCCGGGCTGTGGCTGAAGCGCTGCGGGCAAGGCAGGAGGCAAGACAGCAGGCCGGGCGGCAGCAAGGGCAACAGGCACCACACGAGAGACAGGAAGGGGGCACCATGCCACAGGCCGACACGGATGGGCCAGTGTCGCCCGAGCAGCAGCAGCAGGGAGAGCAGGCTGGCGAGGGTCAGGTTCGGTTCGCCGAGGCAACTCAGGTGTTAGCAGAGTCTCAGGTGCCCCACCGATCGTGGACGGTGGACATGCTGCGCCAAGACCAGGTGCAGCGCCCATCCGACGACCTGCGAAGAGTGGTAAGTGTCAGTGCAGTGCATGCTATACTTTTGCGTTGTCAACCCCAACCTGGCCACTCATGCGAACACTCCATCGCTGCGTACGTTGTGTTGTGTGTATTCCCATTCATTCAGCGAACTGGCGGCGGTGCTGACGAGGCGAGGCGTGAAGGTATGGCGACGCAGCCCTCTCGCGAGACGGCCCTCAGCCCACCGCTACCCGGCCGGCCGCTGCAGGCGCTGCCCTCAGGGGCAGTGGAGAGCGAGGCGCCTGACCTCTCTCGGCCCAGCACCATGGCATGGGACGCCTCGCCACGACAGCCCAGTGAGAGGGGAGCCGACGAGTACCCCAGTGACCGGGAGGGCACCACCGCCCGGCAGCCAACACAGAGTCGTCCATCGTCCAGGGCCGCCACCTCTGCGTACCCCTCTCGGCTCGGCACGGGCGACAGCATCCCATCGGATGAGTCGCTGGAGAGGCAGAGGAGCCGGATTTCGGACAGGAGTGGCCGAATGGGCGATACAGAAGAAGGGCAGCGGCCGGCACCTGCCGATCAGGCGGCTCACGAACCTGCGGGGGGCCGCCCGCCTGAGCGCGTTGATGCGTCGCAAGCGCCCGTCGAGTACGCTATGAGTGACGAGGGCTTCAGCGTTGTCGAGGCTCCCCAGCCACCACCGCAGCAACAGCCACCACCGCAGCAACAGCAAGGCGGCCCCCCGCAGTCTCGTCATCTCGGCAGCAGCCAAGAAATGTCCTGGCGGTTTCCTCCCGGCATTTTCCAAGACACCCCCTTCTCATCAGCCACAGTGTCGCGGGAGAGCCTGGGCGAGGTGATCCTGTCCAGCGACCCTCCCTCACGGCAAGGGACGGACAGGTGGGGCCGCGGACAGGCCCCCCCGCAGCGCCACATCGGCACGCAGCCCTCGTCACTGCTCACACCCGTGACTGAGGAGCCAGACGAGGAGAGCCACCAGGAGGACAGGAAACAGCCGCCCAGAGACCAGTCCACGTCGACATCCGACCTGACGGAGGACAGCACCAAGATGATCGAGTCGCGCCAGCTGCCACCGCGGCCGTCGGGTGCTCCCAGACGACACACAGGCGGCGACAGTCCTGAGGAGGGTGGTGGTGCCATGCCGATGCCGCCAGAGGCAGGAGCCGTCCGTCTCAGAGACGCCGGGGTGCAGGCTGAGTACCATGAGGTCGGCGGGCCGCTACTAGAGGGCCCAATCATGCCAACTCGAGCACGGCAAGAGGGAGCCGCGGCGGCGGCTGCTGATGCTGTGGGCCGTTGGATTGGTGAGACCACCAAGGCTCCACGCAGCTATGGGCCACCAACCGATGACGGACCCGCCCGAGGAGGCCTGGATGAGCAGGGGTCGATGTCAGCGGGAGTGTCTCAAGGAGCGACCATGGACAGCGCCTCCTTGTCTGGCTCGCCTGCCGCTTCGATTGCCAGGGGTGCCCCCGACATGCACATTCGCGTCGTGTCGGCCGCCGGAGAGTCCCTGGACCGCCAGCCATCACAACCAGGGGCAGAGGATGGGGGTATTTCGCCAGCATCCCAGCGCAGCCAAGCGGCCTCCGCGAGCAGGCAGCCTACACTCTCACAGCAGGCCTCTCACTACCCGCAGCCATCCCTGGCAGAGCAGCCGTCATCACTCTCACCGCAAGGCATCCGCGGGGAGGAGGTGCCCTTGGGAGCAGCACGGACTGTGAGCAGCCAGCCGATGGAAAGCGGAGCTGTGAGTCGTCTTGGGTCTGCTGGCGAGCCTGAAGGAGGTGCAGGGGAGTGGGAGGTGATTCAAGATGCTCAGCAAGCTGCAAGAGGGGTGTCAGGTGAGGAGCCTGCAGTGGGCCTCACGCGCTGCCCTGCAGTGACGGACCTCCACATGACGCCTGACCTGAGAGAATTCCGGCAAAGCGACACTGCAGCGGTGAGAGGTGTCCAACCGTCATCCGCAGCCCAGCAACGCACAGTGAGGGCGGAGGGACCGAAGCCCGTCATGGACACTTCAGAGGACACCCTTCCGGCCCAAGCACCGACTACGCAGCCCCCGTCGCAAAACAGAAGGCCCGACGACACAGCGGCACCAATCAAGCCGGTCGTCGCGCAGCCACGTAAAGGAGTGGCCGAGTCCGGCCCATGGGCAGGGCAGCTGAGGCATGACGCAGCCGGCACATCCCCCTACCGACGGGTCGTCTCGGCTGGCGCGGGTGGTCAGGGACTACAGATAAGAGCAACGGTCGATGATACTACGGTTCCCGCAGAGGATGTGCGCTTCCCAGCTGCCCCTTCTGCCGCACCTGCTGTGCCTGGTGGGGCACCTGAAAGCCCTGAGGACTGGCAGAAAGCGACGTCACGCGGATCACCTGCCACGCCATTCTTCGGTCATCCCGCAGCCAGCCGCTCCCCTGCTGTCACTGCACGGCCTCCACAGGAGCCGACCAGCGCTGCGCAAGTCGTTGCAAGACCCCTTGACCAACGCATCGAGAGCGGCGAACAGGGAAAGACGGCGTCGATAGAGGCACAGCGGGAGTTCCAGGGTGATGGCAGCACTTTCTCCTTCGATGGAGAGCGCAGGGAGACGGCCCAGCCACCAACGCGGCAAGAGACGGGGCAGGTGCGAACCCCCACACGACACGTACACAAAATTCACGGATTGGATTGGGTTGTCTCGTCTGTGGTCGCTTTCCTTCAGGCTGCCCCGTTGCAAAGCGACGCAGAGCGGCAGATGGCGGGCAGGCACAGCTTCGTGGACGACATCCGCCAACGCATCCAGGAGGTGACTCCTGCTGCAGCTGTCCCGCCACCTGCTGGGCAGCTCCTGAGCACATCGCCATCGCCATCTTCACCGCCGGTTGCCAGCGGCCTCTCACCGGCAAGCACCGCCCCGCGGCTCACGCCCTCGCCTGCTCTCGCCGGCCCAAGCAGTCTGGCGTTCGAGCAGCTGCCCGCCTCTGCATACCTGCCACCAGCAAGAGCGACCCCCACAGCAGCACTGCCGCCATCCCACGGCCGGAGGTCCCCAGAAGTGGCTCAGGCATACAATGACCTGGCGGCGCTGCGCGGCGATGTAAGGAGAGGGGCTGAGGCGAGAGCGAGAGACCCCCATCTGCTACCGCCCCTCAAGCCGCCCTCCCCAGGGCCGTTCGGCAGCCTGATGGGGGCGCAGACCGACAGGGGGCTGCCGAGCCACCACCCAAACACCACAGAGGCTGCGTGGCGTGACGATCGTGCCAGCAGCTTGCGCGAGGGCTTCCTCACCTCGCGTGGGCGGAGACCTGTGCGCGGGGCGAGGCGGCTGCTCGACTCGGCCGAGTATCTCAGGTACCTGCAGGAGCAGAAGGAGGACGTCCTGCGCCGACTTGATGCCGTCCGGGCCGACCTGCGTGCCCCTCTCAATGTGGACGCTGCCATTGGTCTGGGATCCGTGTCGTCAGCATCCTCTGACATGCACGTCGAAGCGGCGGCCTACTCTCGCATAGACGACCTGATTGCTGGTGACAGAGACCCACTGGCCCTCACCTACACCTCTCCCGGAGCCCGCCACACTGCCTTTGAGGACGTCGAGACACAGCTGCTGCTGGACTCCATCAGACGGTCGTCGGAGGAGGCGGCCAACGTGAGGCAGAGGAGCTGGCGTTCGCGTGAGGCAGAGGAGCTGCGCGACCAGCTGCTCCAACAGAGACGAGGGAGGGCATTGCTGCCGGAGGACAGCACTGACCACGAGCCCCCATGGCCGCCACGACCGTCTCGGATCCATGCCCATCTCAACCCAGAGAGGAATCCTCATGCGGCTGCAACCTCCCTCCCGCCCACCCCACTGGTGCCTACGAGGCCGACCGAGAGCGTTCCCGGCTTCGCCGACATCTCACTGCAGCCGACAGGCATCATGCCGAGTGCGTTGCCCCCCCGGAACCTTCAGACCCTGTCCTTGCCCCGGCAGGCATCCCCTCCGACACGCGTCAAGATGAGAGCTGGCGATCGTGAAAGTGGCCTCCCGTTGCCATCGCGCGTGCCATCACTCAGCGGCACAGCTGCTCAGGGGCGCTCAGAGCCGCTTCATTTCGGAGGGGATGAGAGAGTGAAGGGCATCCTTGAGGGAGTCCAGCGTCGGGTGGCTGACCGAGACGATGGCCTGACGCCTTCAGACGTGTCTGCGTTGCTGGAGCAGCTTGTGCGCGACGTCGTCGCGACTGCGGGGCCTGGTGGTGGAGGGCCTCTGGAGGGCATGGAGAGGGTGCTCCGGCAGGCGCTAGAGAAGGCACAATCCTTCTATGGACAGGGTGGGCGCCATATCAGAAATATCGGCATCAATGGGTTTGCCCACTTCCTCCCCTTTGTGCTGTGCTTGCAGGTAAGGGTGGAGCGACCGTCATCACCCGCAGCGCCTTCTTGGCAGTGGCCGAGTGGGCAGCCAATCAGCTACGCCGCCTGCAGGACGGCGTGCAGGAGGTGCGACAGCTCAGCCAGCGACCTCCCGGTGTCGACTCGTCCCGTCTGCTGCAGCAAGGCGTCTCCATCACGCCACACCAGCCTGCCCACCCCTCCGACACCACCCTCCCCGCCCTCTCGCGGCCAGTGTCCCCCTATCGTGCTGCCCATGGGATCGTCCCCGAGCCCGTGCTCTCCTTCCGTGACGATCCATTGGAGCTCGACCAGAGGGACGTCATCGCACCGTCTGAGAGTGGGCCGCCGCTGTCTGTGCACATGGGGCGGGTGGTGGGGAGGCCGACGGGAGATCGCAAGGCGGCCACCCTGCTCGAGTACGCCGTGCGCAAGCCACTGCAGCTTCGCTGCATGAGGGGCACCGACGGGTCGGCGATGAGGGACGCCACGCTCGTGTGTGCCGTCGTCGAGAGCGACGAGAGGAGACAAATTGAGGTGGGTGGGTGGAAGCATGATAAAGCAGGAAGACGGGAATGTGCCCACTTGTCGCTTGTGCGGCGACATGCATGTCGTCGGTGCGGTGTGGTGCAGGATATGATAGAGTCGCAGTCACACATCCCCGCTGCCACAGGCCCCTTCTTCACCCGACGCATCATCAAGACCTACGCGCCCCGGCTGCAGGCAGGAATCGCCCGGCTGTGTCGGCGCGACTGTGCCGCCCTCAAGCCCGCATACCGATACAGCTATGGCGACCGCAGCGTTTCTGCCGGCACTGGCGAAGGGGACGACTCGGAGATCGACGAGGGGGTGGTCACGTGCGATGTGCCCCGATGTGTCCTGAACAGCCTGTTTGTGCTGTTCTATGCCGCCCCGACGGATGCTCTCACCAAGATCGTGACTTCGCCCTTCGGCTTTGGGGCGGTGATGGTGGAGGGGAGGGACGGGAGGGGAGTGCAGGGCTGTGCGGCCGTCAAGGTCCTGCACTTCGCTGAAGACCTTGTGCAGGTGAGATAGATGGCCACGATGAAGCCAAGAAATAAGGAAGGGGGCCTCACAGCTGCTCATGTGTGTGTGTGTGTCTGTGTGTGTGTGTGTTTAGGCTGAGACGCTTCGGTTTCTGACATGGGGTCCCGAGCAGACGCCGCCGTCGGGGTCGAAGCGGCTGCCGATCAAGAGAGTCGTGTTGGCTCTCGTCGCACTCGGCAACTGCCTCACCGCAATGATGTCCTTCCAGGTGAGAGCAACACATCGCCCCGACTCTGTGTGGTGCCGTATGTGTGGTGGTCTGGTCTGTTCAGCATGCCCTTGAGACGGTAGAGGGTCAGCGGCTGTTCTGCCGCGCTGACGAGCGGGGCTACGATTCGGTGTTCTTCCCGGATGTGCGTGTGTATTCCATCCTGATACCGCCAGAGGCGCAGACCACCAACAACCCTCACGCCCCACCGTACGCACAGACGAGGGAGGATGCAGGCAGACACACACACAGGCAGGCGGGGGACACTCAAACCACGACACGGCTTCTTCTCTGTGTGTGTGTGTGTCTGTGTGTGTGCAGCTTCTATCGTGCCATTCCTGGGTATCTTCTCGAGTACTGCGACAGCACATGACGGCAGGGGCTATGTCATGTTGCCGACGATTGCTGGATGGCTTGCTGACAAGTACCGTAGAGTGTGTAATGTAAGGCACCGACCGTTGTGAAGGAAGGTAAGGTAGCTTCCGTCTGTGCTGCGTCGCGTCCCGTGTCTGATAGCTAGGCTGGTGTACAGTGTATAGCTGTCTGTGCTGTAGCATTCCATCCATCTCTAGCTACGTACGCACTCCCCCACTTAGTTGGGTGCCATCCGTTCATTCATTCCTCGTATCCCGACTCCCATTTGGTTGTGATTCGGATCAGTCTGTGTCTGCATGCATGGCAATGATTGCATCCCACATTTGTGTCGTGTGAATATGCTGTCCTTTGCCTGTGCCCGAATGCCACGAATGGAGGCCGAGACCCGACCCCACAGGCCATACCCAAGTTTGAGGCTCAGGGTTTGAAACCCTGAGGAAAGGCGAGACCCCACAGACCCTAACCCACACCCGCAACCAACTCTGCCTAAGAGGAAAATCGATCTGCAGATCACAGGCTTGGCCGCGCAGCTCTCTGAGAGATGGAAGTTTTGAGACGAGCTCGTGTCTTCCCAGTCCCATCCACCCGCACTCCCTCGCTGGTCGCCAGCCGCCTTGCGTCCCCGCCACCCCTCTCGTCCGCCACACAGACCCGCTCATTCGCCATCAAGAAGCTGCACGCCTTCCGTCCGAACTCAGACGAGGTGCCTCGCGAGACGCACGCCAAGTACGAGAGGCACGGCAACCCCGACAGCTGGGAGAAGGATCCGCGGTGGCAGGCCCACATGGGGCACATGTCTGCCGGCGCCAGGGGCATGAACAGGCCGGATGTGTCGCTGGGACCGCACAAGCGGGGCTGGATCTTGGTGTGGACGCCCATCAAGGACGACCCCTGGGGCTTCTTCATCGACTGCGTCATGATTGCCACGGCCATCTACACCGTCGCCAACCTCTCCTGGGGCGAGCCCTACCACCTGCGGCGCAAGAGGGTCATAATCGAGCGGCTGTACAAGGAGTACGGACTCACCGAGGCCGACGTGGACGAGATCGAGGGCTATGACGCCCCGCTGTCCGACGACACCGACCCACTCGCCGTGCCGGCGCCATCGCCCGCGTTCTCACAGAGCATCACATCGGGCGGACTGCAGTAGCAGGGAGGCCAGGGGAGAGGAGAGGAGAGAAGAGGGGCAGGCAGGCAGGCAGGCCGGGCAAGTGCTTTGCTGTTTTGGGTGGCATGTGATGAAGCAAGTGCATGGCTGTGGAGTGATGCATTCGTTGTGGAGGGGATGTGAGAGTGTTTTGATGTGACTTGACTGCTGTGTGACGACATGGCTGGTGCCTCTGTTCGGAAGCGGTCGTGTAGTTGCCGACGAGAGGATCCACGCATCCCTTTCATTGGTGAGTACACCGGCTGTTTCTCTGATACATAGAGGCAGCAGACCCGGCCTCGACGAGCACGCAAAGCGATCGATGGACAGTGCAGTCTTTGTGATGGCACCCGAGCATTTGAGTGATCGGAGTGTTTGCTTCCGCGGCAGTGAGTCAGCAGCAGTTGATGCCGCACATTCGTCGGGATAGACCAACGAATGGACCGCGTCAGCTGCTGGCGGTCTTGGCTGGCGCAGAGGGATGCATGCGATCGTGTGGTGGAGTGGAGTGTTCATGAGAGCTCCATGGATGTCTGTCTATAGGTATCAGTCGCTGCAGTGCTGTCGGGAAACATCGACCAATGAACCTCATCAACTCACTCTATCAATCCCATGTCGCCAACACGCACTCAGTGTCAACGACTCGCTGTCTCATCGGCCCACATCCATCCATCCATCCATTGACACCCCACAGCCCTCCGTCCCGTCCGCCGATGCATAGAGTTCATGCCGCCGCCACGGCTGGTGGTGGTGGCGGTGCCGCTTGTCCAGTGCCGCCCGTTTTGTTGTGTCTGAGATAGCTCTCGCAGAAGGCCTCGATGTCCCCGTCCAGCACGTCCCGAGCCGCAGAGGTCTCGGTGCCGGTGCGGGTGTCCTTGACCACCTGTGTGCATATGACACACACCGATGAATGCAATGCAGGCCATGTCTGTGTCCGTGCCTATCTGTGTGCCTGTCTGCCTGCCTTGTAAGGGTGCAGGACGTAGTTTCGTATTTGGTTGCCCCACTCCGCCTGCACCATGTCGCCCCGGATCTCTGCCAACTCCTGCGACATACACACAGACAGACAGACAGACAGGCAGCTGCAGAGGCCGTTGCCGTTGCTGGCGTTGTTCGGCTGTTTTGTCTGACTGACCTGCACACGCTGCTCCTCCTTGATGACCAGCAGCCTCTCCTTCAACATCTTCAGAGCTATCTCCTGCGTGCGACACACACAGACACAGTACAGAGACACATCCACACGGAGAATCGATCGTTTCCTTCCCGCGCCCGCCCCGCCCCGCCCCGCCTCACTTTGTTCTTGAGCTGTGACCGCTCCTGAGTGCACCTGAACAGGCGACCGACACTCACACGCACCCCAATGAGAATTCATTGCCCATGAGTGGCAGGCAGGCAGGCAGGTGTCTCGCTTACTTGACCATGATGTTGGTGGGTATGTGGAGGATGCGCACGGCGGTCTCGACCTTGTTGACATTCTGACCCCCCTTGCCGCCCGACCGCATTGTCGTCACCTGGACACACACACACACACACACACACAGGCACAGGCACACACACAACGAAAAGGATGGAGCAAAGATGGGGTGAATGGCGTTGCCCGTCCACCCACCTCGAGGTCTCTGTCGTCGATTGTGATGTCGCGGACGTCCTCGTCGGGCAGGATGGGCATGGTCTCCACGCCAGCGAAGCTCGTCTGCCTCTTCCCCTGAGCGTTGAACGGGGATATCCTCACCAGACGGTGGGTGCCCTTCTCGCCACTCAACAGGCCGTACGCATACTCGCCCTAATAAGGGGATGAACGAACGAAGCACACACACAAATGCACCCACGCCGCACCCTACCACTGCTGGTAGGAAGATCTTCCGACTCACCTCGATTTCGACCTCCGCCGACTTGATCCCAGCCTCCTCCCCGTCAGACCGATCCACCACACGGGCACGCCAGCCCTGCAACCGACATGCAAGCAGCGCCATCCATCCATCCGTCCATCCATCCATCCATCCATCCATGGCGCCCCTCTCTGCCCCTCTCTGACCTTACCTTCCTCTGTGCGAATCTGAGGTACATCCTGAGCAGCATGTCAGCCCAGTCGCACGACTCGGTGCCGCCCGCTCCGGCAGTGACGTACAGCCGACATCCCACGCGGTCATACGGGCCATCCATCAGCTTCTCCAACTCCTGACAGACAAAGTCAGGTCAGGTGGGTCTGTGTGGTTTGGGGTAGGGATCCCCTGTCCGTCTGTCTGTCTGTCTGTCTGCCGCTCACCCAGCTGTCCATGTGCCGTGAGAGGCGCTTCATCGTTGTCACGGACTCTGCCTGTCCATCCATTTCATTCAACGCACACGTGTGGCACACGTGTGGATCCATCCATCCATCTGTGCAGTGAATGAACTGTCACTCGTGTCTTTCTGTGGTCACCAGGAATTCGTTTCTCTCTGCATCGGAGAGCTCCTCCGAAGTGACGAAGTCGATGGCTGCTTCGGCGTCCTCCAGTGACCTCCTCCACCCTTCAACTGAACTGCGGCTCTCCTGATACGATACACACACATGGAGAGAGAACACGCGTCCCACATTCATTTCTGCGCGTCTCGGGGCACTCCTTCCTTACTTTGAGCCTCTGCAGCCGTGCGGACAGCTTTGACGCACGAGCAGGGTCGTCCCAGAAGTCCTGACACACATACACACAAAGCAAATCGGGAGATGGTGGACGGGACGGGTTGAGGCCCATGAGCAGAGCGGCACTCACCTCCTTGGTCGTTTCCCGCTGGATGCTGTCCATCTCTCGGCCAATCGAAGGCAGGTCAGCAAGCTCCACATTCCTATTGCAAGATGGAGGCACAGAAGCGGAATCACAGATGGATGGATTTAGCGCATGGTTGTGTGTTGTCCGTCCTGCGCACGCCCCACCTGTCGTATCGCTCTCGAAGCGTGTCGAGCGTCCTCTTGACCTCATTCACCTCGACAGCAGAAGCTGCACATATCCACCCATTCCATTGCAACAAGATCACAGTGCAAATCAAATCGACTCGCCGCTTCTCTGCTTCTCTCATCTCACCTGGTGGTTGGTCGGCAGCAGCTGCCTTCAGCGACACGCCCTGCAGCAGCTGCCTGTAGTGGTGATGGAAAGGCCGCTGCCTGTCCAGCACTGTAATCTCCCTTCTGCAATCTCTGCAGGAGGCTGCGCGTGGCCTTCTGACTGGGCTTAGGAAGGAGGGTGGCGCCATGCTGCGATGAGTGACGCTTCTGAGTGCGTCATCGGCAAGATGTGAGAGATCTTTCATCGACGCTGCCGGGATCATCGAGAGGATGCCTTCGCAGACAAGCCAAATGCACCAGAACATGAGCCAAATAGGTGAGGCGGGATCTTGAGCTCGCAAGGCTGCGCGTCCTCGAGTCGAGGCGCGGCAGGGATCCGCCGACGACGCGCCCCCGAACGGAGTCGTCTTTCGAGCGGAGTCGAGGGGTTCCCATCCTGCAACTGACCCGTATCTAGCGGATGGAGCTTCCGGCGCCGAGGGGGGACGACTCTGCGGCGTGGGGGAGGCCCGGGGTGGCGCATCTCAAGAGCGACTCGGCCAGATCTACGACTTAGTCCAGCAAACGACTCGTATTCAGCGGACGGCCGTGGGTTTCGGTCTGGAGGCCTCGTGAGTGTGTTCCTTGGGTTCCTCTGTGCATGTGGAGCGTGCGTGGGTGATTCCTGTTGCGTGTCGTCGTTTGACTGTGCGTGAAAGACATGGGACTTGGCCGTCAGGCCGCTTAGGACATTCTGTGAAACCGCTCCCCCCGGCAGCAGCGGTTTCATTTGCGAGCTAAGGAGATCTGGCGCTTTCTGAGGCTTTCCCATGGCTATGGTGATGCATCTCTCGCGTGAAGGCAGAAAACTTATGCTGCGGATGGGCATGCGTCAACTCAGCACTGCCAGCACCACCAGCACAGCATCCCATTCATCCTCCAGTCAGCAGAGCCCGCCACCCCGGCCCAGGCCGTCCCGCGCGTCGCAGCTGCTCGAGGGCAGGCGTGTGTTGGTGGTGCCTGACGAGGAGAAGGAGGTCTACATCGCCATGGAGAAGGGCGACGGCGAGCTGGAGAGGCTCAGAGACCGGCTGCTGAGGGAGAAGAGGGCTGCAGACGAGCTCGAGAAAGACAGGCGGAGGGAGCGAGCCGAGAGGATTCTTCTCAGGGTGGCCGAGGCGGCCAAGCAGGAGGGAGAGGGAGAGGGGGAGGGGGCGAGGGATCCGGTCGGCTCGCCGCAGCCTGGTGTGTTTGCGCAGCTGTCTGGTGAGGTGGTGAGGTACGGCAAGTATGTGGAGCAGACGTCACACTTCCTCGCGAGCAGATTTGCACTGACTGCGAGGTGAGTGAGGTGGGCGCCACACAACACATACGCGCCGCCAGCCCGAGGCCAAGGGAACAGATCATGTTGTGTTGGCTGGTCCCTGGTTGTGTCAGGCCGTATTACTATCCGCCGGCGCCGGCCGATGACATCTCCATCAAGCCATACGAGGAGGGCATGACGATGGCGCACCACTACCCAAGCAAACTCATACCGGTAGATGTGTGCATTCATTCACACCCACTTCCCCACACCACCCACATTGGTTGTGTGTGCGTCTCTCTCTCTCTCTCTCTGTGTGTGTGTGTGTGTGTGTGTGTGCGTGTGCGTGTTGCAGAAGTCTGTGAGCTACCGGTTCCCCTACTCTTTTCTCGTGCACAATCTGCAGAGCCGCTTCATGAGCGACAAACGCACCCAGCGCTTCAACAAGTTCCTGCTCGAGGAACGGCTGAGAGACAAGGTGGGGTGCACACACAGACACCGACAGATGAACAGATGGATGGATGGATGGATGGATGGATGGCGTGTGTGTGGTGGCAGGCGTCATTGGTGTTTGTGCTGCGCGGGACGGCGACGAGCAGCAAGTTCGCGAGATACGACTGGGTCAGCTTCCTCAAACACGCCGGCATGGACACCGACGCGCTGACAAGGGACAGAAACATACAGACGATCAACGTACGCATCGACGCACATGCATGTATACGAGTCCACATGTCGTGGATGGATCTCTGTTCGTCGTTTGTGTGTGCCTGCAGTTGTATGTGTGGGACGTCAACCGTGCTGCGCGGATGATAATGCAATACCGAATGCTCGCCAGCATACAGCAAAACGTACACACGCACATTAACAGACAGACAGGCAGACAGAGAGGGAAAGATGCGACGTGCGCGTCGACATTCATCCAATTCGTCAGTTCCGTGAGGAGATTGATTCGACGTTCGCTCACTTCGACAACCTGAAGTGGGACACGATGAAGCGGCTTCACCTCTACAACAAACAGCTCATCACGGTGCTGCTTGTCGACCCAGCGCTGCTCATCAGGTAGGCCCGTACACACACAAATGGTCACCTTCGGTGCATCATTGACGCAAGCACGGTGCGTGCAGATGGCATGCTGTTGGTCTGCCCACTGAGGAGGCAGCACAGACACTCAGGTGCGTGGGCAGACAGGCAAGCAAACAAGCATCAAGATCAACAACCCAGTTGTTTTTCTGGCCTATATGGTTTATCTGACAGGGAAGCCCTGCGTGAGTTGAGCATGGAGCGGTCGCACCGAGTTTTGCCGAATGTCACCATCGGCAGCAGCAGCAGCAGCAGCTGATACGACGCGCGTGTGGAGAGATAGTGGCCTTATGCGCAGCTGGATAAGCTGAGAGCAAAGCGTTAGACATTCATACATGCACACAGGAATGTATGGTACACGAGAGGGGGTCTGTCAGTCGCCATGCATACACACATGCAATGCAGCAGGGAGGCTGTGGTCATGGTGTTCATGTGACAATCGGACCACCGCAGGGGATTGAATCCATCCAATCGCCCCGGCCGCCTGGCAGACCACACACACCACCCATCGACAGAGCGAGCAAGCTACCACATGGAAATGGGAGGGAGGCTGTTGGCCGCAAACAGGCAGGCGGCTCGGCTAGATAGATATTGACACCCTCACTCAGTCGTCATGCAATGGACTCCCTCCCAAAGTAAGAGGACCAGAGGACCGGTCTGCATTCATCCGACTACTTTAACTACACACAAAGCAGAGGGGCTGACTCGACCAGACAGACTAGACAGAAGCCGTCGCTTGGTCGTCACGCCTGGCGGCCGTTGGTGGCCTGCTGGCCATCACCGTCGGCCATTTTCCCGCCTTCTTGGTTGTCGGTGGTCTTTGTGTAGATGACGTCGTAGTGGCCGGGCCGGTAGAGCAGGTGAATCGCCTCCTCGTCTGCCCCACACCCCTCGGGAAATGTCAGAGGGGCTGCGGGTAGGACAACACACGCAGAGAAAGCAACACGTGAGCGTGTGTTTGTGCCTGCAGGGGCGTGCGTGTGATGTGCACCTGGTTCTGCGGTGTCTGATGCATCGATGTACTGGATGCGCACCGGGACCTTGAGGACCGACGTCAACGCGATGATCTGCACGTGCTCGGCTTCAACCCACCTGACACATATACAACACAACACAAAGTGACGCGCATCCCCACATGTGAACAATTGTCGGAGAGCTCACATTGGGTCGACTTCTGTCTGGACGTATTGATGGATGGAGGCGTGTGTGGTGAGGAAGGGCTCAAACTCAGGCGCATGAAGCTTCAGATGGGTGCCCGTCAGAAACCTGATCAACCAACCACAACCGCGCACACACATCCGTTCCCGCTGGCTGGGCATGTTCGTGTGCTACCTTGCGTATACGACGAGTGAGTTGGAGACGCCGGCGTCCTGGAATGTGGTCTCGAGCTCTGACGGTCCTGTTGCCGACTCGCGCAGCAGCTTCAGCTGGTCCAAAAACTCTGATACATTGACGAGGATGGCCACAGGCACGCGTGTAGACCACGAACGAGAGCATATCGATTGCCTTGATCGCTCACCATCGTAGAAGTCGTCCACAGTCGACTCTGTGTACCTGCACACATCAAACCAGCACACAGCTACACGCGTGTGGCCATCCATCCATACACCCTTCCATGCGTCCGTGTGTACCCAGCGGCCTCGAGTTGTTTCCTGGATTCGGTGATGAGGTTGATGTATTCGTCGATCTGACTCCGATGCCGCAGCAGCCACTCGAACAGGCCGTACAGATACGAACGGTAGAAACAACACCCGTCCTTGCACACTCGCCTGACACACACGCACACGAGCATCGGACACGCACACACATCTGCCTGTGCGCCATGTATGCGCGCACCTGATGCCGCCGTATTGCTTCTTGAGTGCGCGGATCTTTGGCAGGAAGGAGGGGTTGTCCGCGTACCTGCGCAACGGGCAGACACACCCCATGTGCACACGGACGTGTGTACAGCGTGGCGTGTCCGTTCACATACTCGTTCTCCAGTCCGTCTAGCGGCTCCACAGGTCCCACCAGCGGCTGCACCTCCACCTCCTTCCTCACCTGACGCCACTCGGCACACACACACTATATCTAATGCGTCGAAATGTTGATATGTGATCTGTCTGTCTGAGCCTGCTTACCTCCCTGTGGTGATCAAGTATAGAGTAGTCGTCCACATGGCCGTTGGCCTGAGGCGTCACGCCGCATTCGAACGCCTCCTCCTGCTGCTGTGGCGCGTCCGCCGATTCGCCCGTTGCCTCAGGGGGAGACGACATTGGAACGCAACAAACACCAAGACACACTGACAGTGACTGACCCTCGCAAGCCATGGCAGTTGGCCGGCCGTTGGAAAGGGAGGACAACTTTTGAGACAGTCAACGCGACTCGGGAGAGAAACCACCTTTTTCTCAATCTCGCAATCTTCCCTTCGAGCAGCCTGAAGAGATTCTCCATTGCAAAATGAGCTCACGGCCTCCTCGTCCGTCCGACATCAACACCACGGCGTCTCCTCCGAGAGCCTCACGGCAGACAGCCTCGTCCAAGCCGAGGGCGGCAGCGGATGTCACCATTCCCGGCTTGCCTCACGCCCGAACGTCAGAGGGCATCACCACTCGCCGGGAGCGAGACACACAACGCGCCACAGGTCGGCACAAGAGAGGCGCCAGTGAGGGCCCTGGGGCGCATGCCGCCAATTTGAAAGCGGTGCGAGCACCGCCGCCACCGCCAAAAGGAGAGGGGGCGAAGCTTAGAAAAGTTCTGGGGGAGTGGATCTTTTTCTCGGATTTCGACTCGGGCAACGCTGCAGAGGTGGAAGAGATCAACGGCGAGGTAGACACGTGAGACACGCACACACGATGGGAGGCTGGTTCACCATCTGCGGGTCATTCACTCTTCTGTCTTGCATGCTGCAGTATCATGTGTGGGTGGCACCTGACTGTCTGGGCACGCCTTTCCCCGTCAACCAGGAGCACAAGCATCACAGCAAGAAAGACGATGCGGCCAATGGCGGTGGTGCGCCAGAGGGCGAGAGTGACGACGATTCCACGGAGAGCGAGCCCACCGCCACTGAGAAAGACGTGAAGGACAAGGACGGCAGTGGGCGGGCGAAGAAGGCGTACACGCCCTTCCACACTTGGTTCTACTTCGGCATCGAGGGAGGCACAAAGTAAGGGAGACAGACAGACAGACAGAGGGAGCCATTGATTGACTGCCTCAAGAGCGTTTTTCGTTCGTATGTCTGGGCAGAGGCACGTCGATCGCCTTGGTGATTCGTCGGTTGAATCAGCAGGGGCGGCTGTTCCAGCAGGGCATGAAGCCAGTGGTGCGGTGCGTCCCACATGCCACCAAGTGGAAGCGCCTGACCACTCCGTGTGTCGGCACGGTAAGCGGAGGCACAGCAACATTTCATCGATCTGTCTTTCCCGCCATTGCTGGGTGGTTGCAGAACGTGAACGGCGAGTTCAGAGTGTCGTTCCGCCACACGTTTGAGGCAGACGGCGGCTGCACCTACTTCGCCTTTACCTATCCCTTCAGCTATGCCGCCAACCAGGTGACCACACAGAAACTACCTGCACGCACAAAACACGATCTGTCTGCTTTTGGTCAGCTGTACCTGGACTTGCTTGAGCACCATTTTCGCTCGTCGCCCTTCTCGCCGGCATGGCACCCATCATCACAGCCGCCGTCTCTCGACCCATGTCCAGCAGTGTCGGGGGGCCACGCCGCCCTACACAAGGCGCACTCGTGCCCCGACGACCCGCTGCTGGCTGCTGTGGATGAGGAGGTGATCGAGGAGGACATTCGCGTCGAGGATGACAGCACACATGATGAGAGAGACAGAGACAGGAAGAGGCCGCCCTCCTCTGTCTGGCAGAAGCTGACGGCGGTCTGGCAGCGACGAAAGAGCACCGAGCCACTGCCGTTGAAGTGTGACGAGGCCGCTGGAGAGAAGCTGCCCGCACCTTCCCTCCCGCCGATCGGCTCGTCAGCCAATGTGGCTCCGCGCGTCGTCAAGCGACTCTGTGGAGCCATGCAGGGCAGCCGAGCGCGCAGCTTTGACCATCCTCAGCAACCTGACAAGCCAATCGAAGCAGACAACACAGACAGCTCCCCGAACGCGGCCGCCGAGAAGCTTGTGATCGAGCCTGCAGGCGAATTGGATGCCGATTTCAAGCAGCGAGACTCAGTCAGGCGGCTGACGTTGAGTGAGTTCGAGCAGCTGACGGGTGTGTCCTTCCAGAACGGCGTCACCTTGTCGACGTGCAGAGACGTGTACTTCGCGCGCCAGCTGCTGTGCCACAGTCTGGAGGGAAGGAGAGTGGAACTCCTGACCATCACCGCTGCGCCTCAGTCACAGCTGCCATCGTTTCAGCGCGCGAACACAACCACACAGATCGGCGTGCCTGCCGTGGAGAACGAGAGAAGTAACAAGCTGGTGCGAGACTCGTCGCGCGATCGGCTGAGACCTTCGGGAAGGAACATCAGCAATCTGCCCGCACACCTCCTCCCCACGGCGGTCAACGCAAACACAAGCAGCAGCAGCGAGAGCAGCGAAGCAAAACGCCCTCCGCGGGAGAGCCCTCTTTGCTTCGACGAGTGCGCTGTGGCAGGAGTGAGGTTGGGTGAGGAGCCGCCCTCTGCTCTGCGGCTGCCTCTTGCCTTCCCTGGCCGCAAGGTCATCTTCATATCGGCGCGGGTGCACCCTGGAGGTATGCAGCTGCAGAAAGGCAGACTCACCAGTAAGGCGCGTCGAATGTGTCTGTCGTGATTTATCTCGCAGAGACTCCCGGGCAGTTTGTGTGTCTCGGCCTGCTGCACTTCCTCCTGTCCACCGACCCCCGTGCACAGCTCCTCCGTCACTATTTTGTCTTCAAGTGCGTCCCCATCATCAACCCGGATGGCGTGGCGAGAGGCCACTACCGAGCCAACCTTCGCGGACAGAACTTGAATCGATACTATGACACGCCCCATCCCCACAACCACGAGGCCATCGCGCCGATCCGTCGGCTGCTGGTGCATTGGGCCACGAAGGGAATCCCGATGGACAGAAAGGGCGGCGATGGCGGAGGTCGGCTGGCCTTCTACATGGACCTGCACGGCCACGCAACGAAACGCGGGACGTTCGTTCTGGCCAACCACCTGAGCGGATGGGACCAGATCTGGAACGTGGCTTTTTCGCGGCTGCTGGGCCTCAACTCGCCTCATTTCGAGCCTGATGCGTGCTCGTTCTCGATGAAAAACATGAAGAGCAAAGACAACCGCGACGGGCTCTCGAAGGAGGGATCTGGCAGAGTGGCCGTCTACCGAGCAACCGGACTGTACCACTCCTACACGCTCGAGTGCAATTACAACGCCGGCAGGTGCACCCACCCCATCCCGTCTGCACCCGGTGTTGAGCCCCAGCTGCCCCACACGGTCATCCCTGTCTCCCAGAAGACTCCAGTGCCGTACACAGACGAGGTGTGGGCGCAGATTGGCCAGGCTATATGTGTCTCCGTGCTGGACTTCTACGGCTGGAATCCCTGCTCGCGGCTGCCGTCGAGCAGGTACCGGTCTCTGATCGGTACGTGAGCATGCAGACAGGCAGACTGGCGCATCCTTCGTGACAGTACTTGTGCATATGCTCCATGCTGACGCAGGTCTTCTCGATTCGTTCCCGCCCTCGTTCAAGATCGACTCTCGCAACCTGGCACGCAATCGCTCCCGCCTTCTGAAGGCCACCCTCCCCGCCAACACCAACAACAGCAGCATCAACAGCCCACTGGTCCCACCGCCCGACGTCCCTCCGCCCTTCTTCCCTGCCTCTGGCAGCCCACTGCCCCCCAGCATTCCCTCCGACCTCCCTGCGTGGATCAAAGTGTCTGATCAGTTTCTGCCCGACGCGCTGAGCGGCAAGACCAGCAACTGGCCCTACCTCAACACCAACCTGACGCCGCATGTCCGGCCGCCGCCCGTGTCGGTGGACAAGAGCAGAGGCAGAGACCGGAAGAAAGACGACAGCGAGGGAGACGCAGAGAAGAGTTGTGACGAGGCTGTGACGGCGAGTGAGCTCGAGCCGCCGGCGGCTGTGGAGGCAGGTGGGTGAGGGAGGAGGGCGGAGGGAAGAAACGGTAAAGCGAGCGGCGTTCTATGCCTTCACTGGACCCACAATGTCCTTTCTGCATCGTTCTTCCATGCATGAGTCTCAGAGGCAGCTAAGGACGAAGTCACCGTGCCAGATGACGACATTGATGACGAGCCGGAGATGCCGCAGCAGCCCCCTTCACCCACCGCCATGCCGCCGTCGGCCAGAAAGATGCCAGTGGCCATCAACTCACCCCCGCCATCACCAAACAAGTCACAGCTGCCTTCACCAAAGCGCCGGCCCGAAAAGCAAGCGCTGTCTCTGCGTGGCCAAGCTGCAGTGGTACAGTGTAGGCACAATGTATTACTTGCTTGTTTCTCTGTCGCAGCGTCTCTGTTACATGCAGAGCCGCGATCGATCGGTGGACGCGCCATCATCACGCATTCCGCGGCCTCCATCAGCCTCGCGCACGAGAAAGGCCGCCGCCACCAATACCGAGAAGACGGCAATATCATCATCGCCCGAGAGTGCAAAACTCGAGGAGCGGTTGTCGCGAAGCGGCTGGCAGCGACGACCAGGGTCAAGAGGGAACGACGACAAGGCAAGAGAGGAAAAGACGGTCTCTTCAAGGAGGCTGCCGTCATTTGAGAGTCAGTCAACGGCTGCGAGTCTCGAGCGAGGGCCGGTGCTGGCCAAGACGACCCCGCCTGCCCCAAAGGCCTCCCTTCTGCCAAAGCCGCAATTGCCGCAGACAGTCACCATCCCATCTTTCGCGCGCCTGCCCAACTCTCGGTCCATCTCCTCTGGCGAAGACGAACAGCAGCCCCCCGTGCTTCCGTCGCTGCTCAAGCCGCCCACCCTCTATCCCAGGCGTGCCAACTCCCTGGTGCGGCCTCCTCTGGGACCCCAGATGAAGCGCATGATGGGCGAGGACTGCCGGTCCCGCTCCAACCGTGGTGGGATTGAGGGCATTCTCGCTTCATCGCCGCGGACGATCAGACGGCTGCTTGACGCGACCATGAAGGTGGAAGAGGCGGAGGAATGGGCGACGGACAGCTTCGCTAGTGAGAGCTCTGTTCATGAGGATATGGACGTGCCGGCGGCGGCGGCGACAGATGAAGGTGGTCAGAGTGAAGCGGCCAAACAGCCTGAGACACAGCCAGCCCCGATGGAAGACAAGAAAGAGAAGCCCGTGTCTCTCTCGAAGACGGTCAGGAGACCGCCCCCACCCAAGGCAGCCAATCCCAAGGCACCCATCCCTCCCCTGCCGCCCCCTCTCACGAAGAGTACACCCGCGCCAACAGCAGCATCCACAACGGCCTGGCGCATGCGGTCGTCGCGTCTGTGCACGGGCAGGCGGAAACCCCCCGTACCAACAGCCAAGAAAGACAGCCGCGTCGACGGGGAGCGGCTGTGTCTCTCGCTGCGCTACCCGAATCAAGACGCGCTGGCGCTGAGGCGGGCCGTCAGGGGCGACACCAAGGGACCAGAGTATGCGACACAGAGGGCTACTCTCAATCCAAGCAGATCGACCGACACGCTCGTGCAGCCGACAGGCCGCTTGTCGCTCATGAAGCGGGGCAGAAGTTTGGCCAACATCGACCACCACCCGCAGCCAATGTCTCAGCCGCAGCAGCAGGGGCTGCCAGCCGGAGTGAGTGAAGCGCTCGAGAGAGAAGAGAATGAGATGATGATCGCAGCGATGGCCTCGTTGCGTCAGCAGAATGGTGTCATGATGGCCCCCTATCCCTTCTATGCAACCAATATTGACGGCAATTTCAGAAATGTGCGGGTCAAGATATGACAGACAGGGCATTGACATGGGGATTGGGGAACAGAGCGGGCGGTCGAGTTGTTGTTTTCGTGTCTGCGTGTGGGTGGGCGGACATGCAACGGATGGATGGGACTTTTTCTTTATGTGTCCTCGGTGCATGCCTGCCTGCTGACGGATACGCAATTTGTGCAGGCTGTTCGCAGGACGATCATGGTGCATGGAGTCGAACCATACCTGACACACACAGGCTGACTGGTATGCGCTTCCTCTTGGTGTCTGTGGCGTGGAAGCAGACGAAGGTCCAAACTTCGAGTTGGACGTTCCTTCCATCCTGACGGTCAACAATTGGTCTGTACATGCCTGTCTTGGTCCATCCATCCATCACCATCCATCTATCCATCCATCCCCCCAAAGAGCACGTACGACACGACAATTGTCGGTGTGCATTGAGAAAAGAGGATGTCGCATCGTGTGTTTCTGTCTCCATCCGCAAATCAAAGAAATCGTCCAAGCAGACATGTCATGGCAGCTCAAACATACTTGAATGAAAAGGACAAAACTCGTTTGTGCTTACTGACTGATACTTGTTCTCATCAGCAGCGGTCAAAAACATCAGCACAAGGACTGGCACATTGCGAATGATGATAGCAGTGCCGCTGATGCCCAGTGCCAGCAAGTGCATCCTGATGACGCCCGGCTCGGTTATGCTCTTAATCAGGGGCAAGTTGGCAGAGCGCACGAGGCAGATGTAGAGCGCACCCTCGAACAAGACTTCTATCAGCACCATGATTCCCAGACCTACTAGCCTCTCTAGCAGGTGACGGACGGATGGAAAGAGGATCTGGCCGACAGTGATGTTGAACAGGTTGGTGAAGATGAGCACTGTCAACTCGACCAAGCTGTAGGCATGCATTTGCTGCAGCAGTGGAGGCAAAACAAGTGTAGAATGAATGGATTTTCTTGTCTCTCGCTTTCCTTGCTTACATCGCTGAGACGCCGAAGGAATATCGGGTGATAACCAAATTGAACAACCTGAGTGGAGACGTCCAGAAACGTGCTCAAAGACATCATGGAATAGCGACTGGCCCCCTTGAAACTCATCATGGTCGTAGAAAGGCGGCTGAGTAGCCTGACTGGCGTCTGCTTATCGCGCGTTTCCTGAGTATCTTCAGCAGTGACAGTGTTGAAGTGCCGATCTCGTACCGGCCTGTATAGGAATCTCACCAGATTTCTTCTCGCGGCACCACCTATGAGAACGAAATACGGAATGGCTAGGTCGGTAACGAAGTCGAATGATGCAAAAATCAAGCTCGACAGAAGCTGATAAGGAGAGACATGTCCAGGAAAGACGAGGAATGGATCTGACGCGAGAACAGCGTCGATGTGCCCACCCCTACCTGAGAGGAGATATATTCCATCTTGGCCTGGACGACCCTTGAGAAGAGTGCAAAGCCGAACGCTACAAACGTGATTGCTGGAGACGTTTGCAGGGCAGGGCCGTCCTTCAGAGAACGAACGATGCCAGTGACTGAAACACAGACCGAACACGCATGGAAACATGCTAATGTATCCATCGATCGAGTCGCATTTCTTACGGGTAGCAACAAAGGGCGACACCACGAGCAGCCAAGTGAAGAGGACGCCTGTCTTCTCGCGATCTGTTGTTGCAGTCCGGGCAAGTGGCATAAAGTAGAGGCGTACGGCAAACGAAAGACAGATGACCACTACAAAAATGACCCATGTCTTGAGAATATACGCCCGCTTCCTGATTATCGTCGATTTCTGAGCCACTTGGCGAAAGACCCTGACAGGACAGGCACAACGACAGAGAATATGTGCCTACTATCACAGTTCCTCTCTCACATGAGGGGTACGAGCAGCGTGATGGGGTAATTCATGAGCGGCGCATATTTGTGGAGTTTCCGCAGGGTCTCGACGTGGTGGAAAAGTGCAAGAGCCACGTATGGGACAAACCCAGCAAGGAAGAAATACCAGGTCGTCCTCAAGCGGCGGACAGCCCCAATTGCGCTGCCCTCAGCCACAAGTAGTATCAAAGTCATATAGCATAGGGCAACGATGATGCGGCGAGTTACATCAAGGACTATCCCTGCTGCTCTCGCGCTCAATTTCTCGCACGCCGACCAGTACGCCAGCCACACCAGGGCCCAACAGACTGCAAAGCCGACGGCTGCAATTAGGTGGAATAAGAGTACCTGGAAAGTGACAGACCTGAAAGGACTGCGACATTGCGCGAATCATTACCTTTGTGACTCGTCTTACAGTCGTCCAAAGCGGCTCAGGAGTGAAGACCGCACCAACGAATGAGCCTCCTTCATATTGCAAGTCAGTTTGGAACTCCTGAAAGGAGGCTGCATGTCCCGCGCATGCTCGGAATTCATTCACCCTTTCTTCGAGCTCCACCTCCTCTTTGCGCAGCGCTCTCCCGTCTTCTTCTCGGTCCTCATGATAGACAACCCCCTCTTCTGAGTAGGTTTCTGTAGGCAGACCGCAGGTCAAGTCGTTGGTCCCAGTGGCGCCTGTGCTCTCTGGGTCAATGACATTTTGCTGGTTCATCGCTGACTTTAAATCTCTCCACACGCGCGAGATCCGCATGCAGACTGGGGGTCTGTCTTCAGGCCCCCACATCGGCGCCGTCCGTTCTTCCCCCTCCCATGGCGAATGCTGCCTGTTCTCAGCACGAGGTGGACGTCCTTCTGCCCCACATGCCCTTCAAGAGCGCGATGCACATCTTCAGGAGGAAAGGTACACACATGAGTAATTGTCCACCTTTCCTCCGCCTGACCATGCAATCAGAATCCTCATTTTGGTCTTGTGTCCAGTGGACAACAACTTCCACTCGCCCAGAGGTGCGCATTCATGAGTGAAAGCAGCACATTGAATGTGGGCCTCTCATTTCTCTCTCCCTCTCCTCTGTGTTCCCGGCTGCAGATGCATTCAGGTGCACGTCAGAGCAAAGTGGGGCGTGTGCGCCTCATTGTGTGCCTTGATGTCCGTCTGTCGGTTGTCCACACTGCAGAAGGTTCTCTGGTAGCTATGAGGGTGCGATGGACTTCCAGACCTTCTGCAAGAATGCCCCCGACATCTTTGCGGAAGGTCTGGTTCTCCCCTGTGTGTATAAGCACTATATGTGCATTGTGCACATGCGCGAACTGCTATTCATCCAGATTTCGTCAACGAGGCGTATTTGCGGCCTTTGTTCACGGCCATGGACCACGACAAGGACGGGGCCATCAACTACGGCGACTTCCTAAGGTAGGTGGCTGAACATCTCAGTAAGAATCTCTCTCTCTGTGTTGTGCGGTTGTGTGCCTGCAGGTGCGTGAGTGAGGTGCATGACTACGCGCCGTTCGTGGACATTCCCGACATCGAGCACCTTGAGGGCATGCTGACGCTCGAGGCGGGTTGGTAGAAAGAAAGAAAGAAAGAAAGAAAGAAAGGCACACACCTGTCTGTCTGCATGCATATGCATTTCTTCCCACACACAGTTGTGTCTCCCTCCTTGCTTTCTGTTTGTCTTGGCAGCGTGGAACCTGCTGTTCCTGAAAGTCTTTGGGCGATTCACGAGTATACAGGAGGTCGGTCCGTCACATATACACACCAGCGGACAGATGAGTGCGCGTCTGCCTACCTGCCTCGTAGTCTTTTCTCGGCATCTGCCGCGAGCGACTGCGCCAGCCGGCCAACGCGATCACGCCAGAGGACTTCCACGCGTTCTTGGACACCGTTGGGCTGCGGATGTTCGCTGAGGACGAGGAGGAGCTCTTCAAGAGGATCGACACGAACGGTATGTACGTGTAAGGCGTGTGTGTCTGTGCGAGGGAGGTGTATTCCTGTCTGTCTGTCTGTCTGTTTGTCTGCATGTATATGTAGGCGATGGTGTGATCGACTACCAGGAGTGGGAAAATGTTTTGATCTACGGGGCGGTGCATCACGGCATTGTCGTGCGGTGACAGTGGTGGTGGGTCGCGGGGGGGTTGGTTGGCCAGGGGAGGGAGGTTTTGCGTCGTTCCTTCTTCATGATGGCCCTAGGTCGATGAACGATTGATCCTTACGCGCACGCACACACGTATCGGCCTGATGTCTGACTCTTCCAGACCTATCGACGCCTGCATGCCTCAGGCCTTTCCATGAACGTCTTAGCCACTCACACATAGACTTCTATCATCTCCCTATTTCCGCATCTTTGCCGCGGCGAAATGGAAGATGAGCACCAGGAGCATGATGGCCAGCAGCAGAGCAAAGCCGGGCTGTGTGACGTGGGCGGCGGCGGTCATCTGCCCACCTCCACCGTATACATCTTCCTCACCCATACCCTGCATCCATTCACACACAATATCTACACATACATGCATGTGATGGACGAAGGTCGCTTGTAGACTGACCGCGAACTGTCGTGTGTTTTCGCAGACTTTGATGGGCGTGCAGGTGCGCTCCTCAACGTCTTTGCCCTCACACTCCTTCCCGCCACCCTGACACACGCACACATACAGAGTGGCGCACAAGGGCAGAAAGAGAGAGAGAGAGAGAGATCGGTCTATGCGTGAGTGTGTATGTGCTGCTCTCCCCCATTTCCTCTCACCCGTGCTTCGGTCTTGACGGACCTCGAGCGTATTTGTTTGGGCGGCGTCTGGCCTTGGGGCGTGCACCTGAGTGTGGCGCAGACAGACAGGGAGGAAGCACAGCCATGTCTCCGTGTACATATGAATAGGTAGGCGGATGGATGTGCCAACGGCTTTGTGTGGCTCACGGCAATGGGCACTCCTGCCAATCGCCCCAGCCGCTCCACAAACAGTCACTGACTGGCAGCCAGGCACGCAGGCAGGCAGCCAGCACACCAATGAATGTGTGAGTATGAGTATGACTGTGAGTGTGAGTGTGTGTGCGCGTGCGTTCCGTCTGTGCAGCTACTGACCGCATCGTTCGGTGGTACATTGTTCAGTGTACGCCCTGTTCTCAACGTCGCAAACCGTGTTCTTGCCGGGCTTCCTGCACACCACACGGCATGGATGCCCCACCCATCACACCGGTGTGTGACCGGCGAACCTTTTCCAGATGGGCTTGCGTGAGCGCTTGCCGCCCCCACAATCGACACGAAGACCGCTGAAGACACAACCGGGGCGTATAGGCATGTTATTTTCTGTAGGGACACAGGTAGAGAGTGCGGCGCTTACTCTGTTCCCAGGCACTCGCCCCACTCCTCCCAGGTGTACTCACAATCATACTCTGCCGTATACACACAGATGTGCATTCCCCGGTGTGTTGTGTGGGTTTATCTGCAAAGATCTCTCTCGCTCACCACAGTCGGGTAGGTCTCTTGTACAATCCTGTTTCCGTGTCTGGGGCTTACATCTCTCCGGCTGATATCAGAAAGTGCACACTCTATGGGATGGCCTGTGTCTATCTGTCTGTATGACATACGTCTTCCTTTGCCTCCTGTGTCTGCTCAAGCGGCGGGTTGTGGCCCTCAGGCTTACATCTGCACACACACGCAGTCAGGCAGGAAAGAGCCCCAATGCACCAGATTGATGCTCTTTGCAAAGGATGGCACGGTGGTCCCTTCCTCTCCCTGGCGGACATACGAGGCCGTGCACAGTGGGTCCCAGTCGCCGTATTCGCAGGGAGGGGGATCCTTGCTGCCGCCGCCACCCATCAACGGTGCTCAAATGAGTCAGACCTCCACAACAACAAACGATTGCGCAAGGAGAGAAATGACGGTCAGGCACGGTGGCTCTTATGGCTGTGTGCCCGCGGTTTGAACTCGACGTCGAGAGCGGGCACTGGGAGGGGAGTGAGGGGAATGGCCCCAAACGGCTGAGCTCGCGATTTTTTCCTTCCCTCCTCTCTCCCCAAGAGCGTTTATCGTGTCAGAGGAGGGGCCGCCACTCGTGCTTCATCCACTCACATCCCCCTACCCATCCATTTCCATCACCACACCTGGGGCTCCCAGTCGCCTTCTCAGCGGCCAGCACCGGAGCGTGATTCATTCATGGCGGCGCTTCTCTCTCGGTTAACCACGGTGCTGCTCGCCCTCCTGTTCCTCACACACGGCGCCGTTGCGCAGCAGCAGGCCCCCCAGGAGCCCTGCAAGGAGGGCCACTCGTCGTGTTTCCTCATGCGGGGTCTCCAGCAAGTGTACGATCCGTACCTCACGGACTGGGGGAGCATCCAGTTCGACCCCAATACGCCTGTATTCGAGCGATTCGAGCGCCTTCTCGGGAGGTGCACTGACAGGAACCTTGGTTTGGGTGCTGGCCTGATGCGCATCGTGAACGGCGACGGGACTCTGGTGTGGGAGGGGGCGTATGATGGCGGCCCGCCGGGTCGCAACGCGAAGCCGCCCCCGGTCACCCGAAAGCATCCGTATGAGATCGCCAGTATCTCCAAGATGCTCACGGTGAGTGGTACTAGTTGATCGATGAATGGCCGGCCAGTCATGCACTTCTTGTGTTTTGTTGTCGCTGTTTCTGGTGTGTAAGGCGGCGACCGTTTTCACGTATGTCGACGAGGGCAGGATCAACCTGTCAGGTACCACATACATTGGTGAACAATCCCAAGCACCGTCTCAATTGCCTGTGTGTCTGTCTGTCTGTCTGTCTGTCTGCAGACAAGATCATGGATCTGGTGCCGAATGAGACAAAGGTGCCCCCCACGCTGCATCAGTACAAGGGCAAGTACTACACCGACCAGATAACTGTCCAGATGCTCCTCAACCACAAGTCGGGACTCCCGGAGTACTGGAGTGTGAGATACCCAGTGTTACCCACACACATAGATACACCACTGGCAGTGATCTGTATGTCATTGACAGTCGCCCGACTTCAACAAGACCTTCCTCGCCGACGTCAATCGCTGGTGGGAGCCAGAAGAGGTCATTGCCTTTGCCGCCAAGATGGAGGCCCATTACGTGCCATACACCGGCGAGGACGAGCCTTACATCGAGAAGTACGACCAGATGGCCGTGTACTACTCCGACACTAACTACATCCTTCTGGGGTTTCTGTTGGAGGAGCTGGAGGGCAAGCCGCTGGCTGAGGTTTACAAGTTGCGGCTGTACGAGCCCCTCAACATGACCAGCACATGGCTGCGTTATAGAGAGGAAGCAAGGTGGGTATGCCAGCTGCAGATATGGGTACAGAGAGAGACAGCACATCACACACACGTGCAAGCCGCCACTCTCTCTGTGTCTCTCTCTCTGTTTCTCTCTCTCTCTCTCTCTCTGTGTGTGTGTGTGTGTGTGTGTGGCCACAGGAGCTCTCTGCCGATATTGAATCGTTACTGGAGCAAGCCGGCCATCCATGGCAATGAGCAGATCGACATGTCTCTGCACCGGCGGCAGACCGCCGAGTGGGCCGGCGGAGGGCTCGTGTCTACCAATGAGGACCTCATCAAGGTGCTGCGGGGCATCTTCGAGAGCCGTCGGCCAGGACCGGGCGGCCTCTACAAGAACAACGAAACCGTCCAGCGTTTCTTTGGCCCGGATGCCTTTCATATGCACGTGGATTACGACACCAAAGAAGTAGGTATCGAGTTGCATTGACTGCGTTGCCTTGGCTTGTGCGGCTACATAAAATGCATTTCGGTGTGTGTGTGTGTGTGTGTGTTGCGCTTTGGTGTTTGTCAGGGGCAGTGGGACAACGTGTACTCGTCTGGTATCTTCAAGGTCAAGTTCGACAACGAGGAATGGGGCGAGATCCTCGGCCACGAGGTGAGAGCGCCCTGATTAGATCTTATCCCTGTATCCCTGTGTGTGTATTGTCGTTCATCTTGTTTGGTCCATGCAGGGCTCCGGCAACAGCTTCGTCTACTGGTTGCCGCCCCTCGAAACATCCGATGGCCGCCGGCTCGGCGACTACTACTTCGTCGGTAGGTCCCCCCCAGAGGTGCGTGCATTAATTGGTTGTGACTCAATCAGGCACGCTGAACCAGCTGGAGCAGCTGCCGGACATCCCCAACCTATTCTGGTGGTTCGACGTCGTCTGGGAGACTGTCGAGCAGCTGGTCGATCTCGAAGTGCAAGAGAAATTAGCTGTCGAGATACCGCAGTTGCCAAAATATTTGCAAGAACGGCAAGCGGAAGCACAAAGGCCGGCGATCGAAACATAGTAACCTTTGTGGCCGGTACAAATAATGTGTTGCAGTGGCAGTATCCAGTGGCGCTAAGTCATTTGGCTCTGGGACTTTTCTTGCTTTCCTGACTGGATAGGCGACTGACCAATCAGTTGGTCTACGTATTTGTGTAGATAATCCCACCTCACCTCTCTCTTCTGCGCTTTTTTTGCGCTCGTTCCTCGCACCCCCCTTCTTGCCTTTCCAGCTGCGATTTTGGGTCGTCACTCATTAGTGAGTGGGTGGGTTACGGAATTGCCGTCTGTCAGGGCTAATGACCAAAAGGGGGTGTGAAGGGGTGTCTGCAGTTGTGCTGCCTTCGTCGTGTATTGAAAGGGCAGGTGTTAGCGAATGTGCATTACAGTTTGTGTTTGTATATATATATATGTGTGTGTGTGTGTGTGTGAATTTGCATGGTTCATTCGCTGAATGCAATGCGCTGTGACGCTTAGCTTCTTTAAGCTTCTTATTCCTGAGGAGGGGTTCGTTTTGGAGCGTGATGTTGTGCTTTGGGCTTGAGCTGCTTGTCGCCTGTGATGGTGCCTGATCGGCCGTTTGGTTTGTGTCTGGATGCTGCTGCCTTTCATGCTGTGTGGTGCGCTTGTGTGTCTGTGATTGCGTTCCCGCCTTCGTGCCTTTCACGTCAGTTTGCTGATTGGCTTTCACAGAAACTGTGGTCGTAGAGTCGGCGATGTCTCGCACACAGAAAGGCACAAGAGCGGACCACACGTTATGAATGGCAGCAGCATCCAGACACAAACCAAGCGGCCGACCAGACATCACACATACATCAGTGTTGACTTCATTTGAGACAGAGAGACGTGAGAGAGGGTCGGTGATGTGTCCATATGGATGAATTATACACGGAATACCACTCATCTCAGTGAGTAAGAGAGGCAGGGAGTGAGTGGCTGTGTGTTTGTCTATGGAGAAGAGGCAACAGGATTCCAAGAGATGGTGCGGGCGGGATCCTGCGAATCTTGGGGTGAGCATGCAGGCGGTGAGCAAATCGTCTTGACAGATCTTAGCAGACCTGAGTGTCTTCCTCGGGCCTATGTATAAGTCACGACGCGTGCCTATCCAGATAGTGCTCCACATGGTCTATTGCCTGCACGTTCTCACAAGCACTCTTCTACTCTCGAAGTGAGACATCAGCGCCAAAACCAGAACGGCCAGTAGCAAAGCAAAGGCGGGTTCTGTACCGTGTGAAGCCGCGGACGGCTGGCCACCGTCGCCATGTGTGTCTCCACCATCACCCATACCCTGCATTCCATTCATCAACACCACAGCCATGGATGTGTGGGCCATGCAAACATGCAAACATGCAAACATGCAAAGAAGGAGGATGAATGAATGAATGAATGGGTGGGTGAGATCATGCACTTCCTGGGTGACTGACTGACCGCGAGTTCTCTTTGCTCTTGTGCGCTTTTGCAGACGGTGAGGCCAGGGCATGTGCGCTCCTCATTCGCCTCACCCTCGCACTCCTTTCCGCCGCCCTGACTCACACACACACACACACACACCCCTGTGTGTGCTCCCCCCAACACAGTCGTCACGTTTCTTTGTGTACTGGTCCACCCGTGCTTCGGTCTTGATCGATCTTGTGCGTGTCTGCTTGGGCGGCGCCTGGCCAGGAGGCGTGCACCTGAGTGTGGCGCAGACAGACAGGAGGAACACACAGACACACATGCAGACATGTCTCGACGTAATCGACCGTCCCAGCGCATGGACACACGGACAATCTTACCCTTAACCACCACCACCACCCTGTCTCGACGCATGGCTGGCTCAACGCATGGCTGGCTCTATATGGTCGGTCGGTTGGCTTACGGGAGTGGGCACTCGTGCCAGTTGCCCCATTCCTGCCACTCACAGTCATCCACTGAAGGCATGCAAGACGTATATATAGGCACATGTGTGCACTTACATGCATGTGCTCACGTTCGTATGTGTGTGTGGACTCATTTGTTCACCGCATTTGTCCGTGGCGCACTTCTCAGTGTACGCCTTGTTTTCAATGTCACACACCGTGTTCTTGGCTGTGGGCTTCCTGCATACCACACGGAGACACAGGTAGGTAGGCACATAATGAGTGCGCCAATCAGGTGACGCACCTTGTCCAGATGGGCTGGCGTGAGCGCTCTCCACCCCCACAATCGACACGAAGACCACTGATGGATGAATAGCACACACGATTGGATGGATAGATTATGGTCTCACTTACTCTTTTCCCAGGCACTCGCCCCACTCCTCCCAAGTATACTCACAATCATACTCTGCGTGTGCACCACACACGCACACACACACACACACACACACACAGAGAGAGAGAGAGAGAGAGAGACTAGGTAGTGTACCGCAGATCGACTGTCTTTCACCGCCCCACTCACCGCAGTCGGGTAAGTCTCTCGTGCAGTCGTGGTTTCGCGTGTTGGGCTTACATCTTTCCGGCTGATATCAGGCATGCACACTCTGATGGATGGGCTGTGTCTGTCCGTCTGTTTGTGTGACTTACGTCTTCCTTTGCCGTCTGTGTCTGCTCAAGCGGTGGGTTGTGGCCCTCAGGCTTACACCTGCAAAGTGCAAACACACGCACACACGAACGACGAGCGAGTTAATGAATCTCTGCCTGCGCGGCGCCCGCAGTATACACACACACGCATACACACATACGTATGTACTGTACGTTTCAGAGCAGGGCGGGGACCATTCCTGGTATTTGCAGGCAGGCTTCTCAGAGCTCCCTCCCCCGCCCATCGATATGATCCTCAACAGCTGACAACGGCGGAGTGTATGGCCCTCAATTTGTGGCTTCTATGCAGTGCAAGAGATGACCTGTGCACCTGCTCCCCGTGGGGGGTGAAAACCTTCGAGACGCGGGCCCCAAATATTAATGGATCGCGCTGCGAGCTCACCTCGCAGACCTTTTTTCCTCATTTTTCGTGCTCTAGATGCCGACATCTGCCTAACCTCATCGCAGCAATCAGCAATCAATCATGATGTGGCTGCTCGCCGCCTTGGTGTTGTGGTGTGTGGCGCCTGTGCTATCGCTGGCTGCTGTGGACATCCATGTGCACGTAGATCTGGGCCGCGATGATCTCTCGGTGGGTGTCAGGGGGCAGGCAGGCAGGCAGGCAGGCATGGAGAAGGATGCATGTGCATTATCTCTGTGCACGTGGTCCTTGTGTGTGTGTGGCAGATCTCTCCTAGTGTCAAGGCTGATGTGTTGAGGGCGGTCGGCGAGCAGCTGGACAAGGCGCTTGCCACAGATGGGTACGCATACACACACACAGACAGACAGACAGACAGGCAGACGGAGAGAGCATAGTCACTGTGTGAAGATGTGTGCATCAAATGTGTGCAGCAGTGGGATGGTGGCCAATCAGGTGGAGCACGACGGCATGCGTGTGGAGGTGCGCGTGACGGACTCGCAGCAGACCTCTTCCAGCCAATCAGATAATGAACAGGCACGTCTACTCACACACATAAAACTGTACGTGGGCATATCAGTGTGAGGTGCGTTGGTGCCAAACACAGGATCGAGTTGACCTGTTGAAGTGCTCACTGCCGAGCCTTAGCGGCACGTCTTTTGTATGGTCGTCAAAGAGAGACCCAACAAGCTCTGGTGCGCACGCCCACACAGACACACGCAACCACAGAAAGGTACACGTGACGATGTGTGTGAATGGGTGTGTGTGGCAGGCCCCCCCGCTGCTCGTGGGGAGACCTCTGTGCAGTTGGGCGATGGCGCAGGGCCATGGTTCGACCTCTCGCACACACTCCAGGCAGCAGACGGTACGCACACACGCGGGGGCACCCGTGTTGGTATGTATGGATGGATGGATGGACACAGATATGCGTCGGTCGTTCTACGGCCATGGGCAGCTGGTGCATCACGAGAGCGACGCATCCACACTCGACTATGACACGGTGCGGCCGTGCCCTGAGGACGATGCGGACGGTACCTATGCTTACCACAGGCACCTTGGCCACACTTGTGTGTGAATGTTGGCACGTGTGTGTGTGTGTGTGTGTGTGTGTGCAGGGTGTCTGTTCACGCAGCAGAACTTCCAGCTGCGTTTCCCCAGCGGCAGCGTCCTCTACATCTCCACGGCCGCATCGGCCAACCGACCGCCACTCCCCCATGATGAGCCCCTCAAACAGGCAAACACACAGATGGTATTACCACACACAGAAAGACTCACCGACCTTCTCTCTTTCTAAGCTGTAGTTGCGTGCGTCACATGCAGATGCCTGAATTGCCCGCCCCAGCACCAGTACCAGCGCCAGCCGCAGCTCCAGCCCGGCGGCTCTCACGTCGAGAGGACCCCCACCCACTGGCCGACAATAGCGAGTCCAAAGCCCACAATTTTAACTTTGGCGGTCAGTTGCCCCTGTCACGCACACACACACACATGGATGGACGGATGAATGGGTCTGTCTGTCTATGTGTGTGCATGGGTATGTGCAGGTGGTGGTGGTGCGGACATGCCCGACGGCACTCAGCTCAACTTCGGTGGCGGCGGGGGACTCACTACCGTCGTCGACGAGTCACAGCAGCCAGGAGGTAGGTACATGTCATGTGGAGTGGACTCACACTCATCCACTGCCCCGCCCCCCCAACGCACATACACCGTCTGAGTGGATGTGATTGATGTGTGCAGCGATGGGTTGGCACAAGCGCAGCAGCAACCGGTTTTCGTCATTCAAATTCGGCGGCGGAGGGGGGGCTGTGCTGCCTGACGGTCAGACAGACAGACAGACAGCACAAATGGGCGTGTGGAGACATCTCTCTCTCTCTCCATGTGTGTGGTCAGGTACGGTCTTGAATTTCGGTGGTGGCGGCGGATTGCATGTGGGCAACGCGCGATTGAGCCGTTTCAGTGCCATCATAGAAGACGTCGAAAGAGCCCTGTGTGAGCATGATGAACACAGACAGACCCCAGGACACAGACCCCCTCACACACACGACGTGACGTGACGTACACACTCCTACCTACACACTTTACTGCTTTGTCTGTGTGTGTCGTTCATGTCAGCTGCATCGATCGACTGGTCCAAAATGAAAGTCGACTACGGTACGTGGGCAGTTGCCTCCCCACCACACGCTCTCACAGACCTCTGCACCAACACACACACACACCGTATGTGTGCGTGTGTGTTTGTCCATCCATCGATCGCACACACACAGCCGCCCTTGCGAGTGGCGATGAGGCCAGCGGCACCGGCGACTTCAACTTCGGAGGCGGCGGGGGGGCCGAGATTCCTGACGGTATGTTCCATCCCATCCACACACACACACACACACACAATGGATGCGTTCGTGTGTATCATTCTTGTGCCTGTCTTCCTTAATGCAGGCACTGTGTTGAATTTCGGTGGCGGTGGCGGTCTTTCGACCAATGCTGAGACGCAGACAGTGGAAGGCCAGCAACAGCAACAGCAGCAGCAGGAGGGTGCGCGGAGAGAATGTGCCCATCCCATTTGTGTGTGTGTGGATGGGAGTACATGTGTGTGCAGCCACCATGGCTGAGCAGCTGTCATCCGAGCCGGAGGGGGGATGCTCCAAGGTCCACGTCATCCTGCCCATGAAAGGGGTACCGTACGCACGCATCCACCTCTCAAAAAGTGATGTGTCTATCGGTGTGTCTCTGTGTCTCTGTGTGTGTGCAGGTGTGCGCTCAGATGTGCCTCACCGACTCGGTGCTGGGCTACATGCACCTCCCGTCAAAAACCGGTCGGTGCGTCCGTGTACCGTACGCTGCGCATCTGTGTGTATATGTCCTGTCCACACACACCTGTCTGTCGTTCACACAGGTGTGTCCTTCGGCAGCTGCGCCGACGTCGACTACTCACACAGAGTCGCCACACTCACCGGTCAACACACACACGCACACACACACACACACACGTATACACGAAACATGTGTGTGTGTGTGTCGGTCGTTTGTTTGCAGGTGACCTGAAGCCCGCCATCCCGACTCTCAAGATAACGCTGTTCGAGCAGACTGGAGAGGACAGACGCAGTGAGTGCCCTCACACACGCAGGTTAAGACGACACCCGTGCCAGTGCACCGCTGGATGTGATGTGTGCAGATGAGCAAGAGAGGATGCAGTACGCCCGGCAGTACGCACATGGAGGTACTGCACACACACACACACACACACACACACAGGGCGTATACAGACGCCCACTGATTTAATTGACGGACACACACAGGCGAGTACAACCGCAATGGCAATGGCAATGGTTACTATGGCGGAAATGGTGCAAGTGAGAACTACAACGGTCGAGTGGAGGGTCCGCTGCAGCGGGCCAGCGGAGATTTCGCCAACAGAATCAGAGCCGGTACGTGACGACCACTTGCACTTGTTTCCTAGCTGCACGTTCGTGTGCGCAAGCCTCTGGGCGTTCGTGTGTGTGTATGTGGGTCGATCAGCGTCCAACGGTCTTGACGTGCTGGCGGCGTGGGACGGGTTCCTGAAGCAAGCTGACCAAAGTGAGTAGAGTGGATCAGTGCAAGCGTAGAGTCCGTGTGTGTGTGTGATGAATGAATGGGTCAGTCACCCAGCTGTCCATCGCCCCCACCGACAGCAGCCACTGTGTGGACCTATGTGCGATTGCCGGACAGGTAAGGCAGGCATCAGCGAGAGCGGACAGAAAGGAATGTGTGTGTTGTGTGTGTGTTGTGTGTGTGTTGTGTTTGTGTTGTGTGTGTGTTTGTGTGTTTAGGAGTGTGTGTGGGGGTGCATGGATCCGCTTGTCCGCGACCTCACACACCACATACTCGTCGAATCGAAATGCACAGAGTGAGTGGACGGATCCATGGGAGCACCCCCACACACAGGCGCAGATGCGCACACACATGCCTCTCTGTCTGTCTGTCTGTCTGCCTTTATGCGTGCAGCCTCTCGTTCCCCCGCAAGCGAGTGGATGTGACGCATGTCGGCCCACTCAGGTCAGGCACCCACAAGCAGGCTCATGTACTCATTCATTCACAAGTGTCTTTCTGTGTCTGTGTGTGGTGTGTCGCGATGTACGTCAGCGGTCTCTTCCACCCGGTCGCCATGGCTGTGTACCAGAAGGAGGAAGACGACAGCAGCAGCAGCCAAGACGAGCAGCAGTGGAGCGCATACAAGCAATCGGTGAGACATCTCGTCAACACACACACACACACAGAGAAAGAGAGAGAGAGACAGAGACAGAGAGAGATTCTTATGTGGTGTGTGAATGGTCGTGTGTGCAGGTTGAGAGGTTTATGGAGGACGGTCAGTCTGCACCTAGCTGGGAGGCATTTCAGAAGCCCCTGCAGACATTCATGCTGGAGGCTTCCAGAGGTACGCACACACACATGGCCAGGCCCCGCCGAAGACCTCTGTGTCTGTGTGTGGCTGGGCTGATGTCTGTGATGTCTGTGTGTCTGTTCGTCCGTTTCGGCAGCGTGGCCGCCATCTGAAGCACTGGACTCCTACGCGGACCCCAAACAGTGCATGTGAGTGACCATACAGGACACTCTCCCTCTCTCTGACACACACAGATGAATGTGTGTGTGTGTGTGTGTGTTCAGAGTGGTGCACCGCATCATGGGCAGCGAATGCCTGGTCAGTCAGTCAGTCTGTCAGTCTGTCTGCACACACACATCAACACGCATACGCGCGGTGCATTCGCCTTAATGTGTGTGCAGGAGACCTGTTTGCCCGAGAGCCTGATCGTCCTCTTCGAGCGAGGCACCTGCAAAGACGCCGGATACGACCAGCTGCAGGTAAGGTACCATGGGGACGCACTCGTGTGGGGCCGTGCGCATGTTGATGTGTCTATACGCTCAGTCATCTCTCTGTGTGTGTGCGTCTGTGTGTGTGTGTGTGTGATCAGGTGGTCGACGCGCTGATGACCACTTACAAAGGCACCGCCTACACGCAGAAGTTCTTCATCTACACCAAAGAAAAGCAGCAGCACCAAGAGCACCCGCTATACTCTCGTACGTGAAGTTGACGTGCGTCTCCTCCCCCCTCCACACACAGACACACAGACACAGACACAGACACAGACACACAGACACCATTGATGTGCACGTGCTTCATTCAGGCGCTCTGAAGTCATCATCGTCTGATAAAGCTGACAGCCACTTTGTGATCCCGCCCAAGAAGGTGGCAGACGAGCTCAAGAGAGTCAACGAAATCAACGACACCAAGACGCCCTCCTTCTCTAATGGTCGGTGGCCTGGCCATTCACACGTCTGTTGCGCTGCGCGTACCTGCGTGTGTTGTGTGGCTGGGTGCGGTGCAGACAGCGGCGAGTTCCCCTCCTTCGAGCACTACGATCCCGTGCACCCATCTCACAAGGCCGATACCGACGCCGACACACACAAGAAGGGCAAGAAGAGCAAAGCGAAGGAGGACGACAAGGACGAGAAGGACAAGAAGACAAAGCAGCCTAGGTATGTAGGCAAACTGTATGTATCGACACGTGACTGTGTCTGTGTGTGTCTCTGTGTGTGTAGCTATGGGTGGGAGAAGTTTCTGCCCAAGGGCTACGCCAAGGCTGCCAAACGCTCGTATGCGCCCACAAGTAAGCGACCCATATCATTCCCCCCTCCCTCCCTCGCTCCCTCCCTCCCTCCCTCCCTCCCCCCCAACGCACCTACACACACCTGACGTGCAACACTCTCTCTGTGTCGCTGGATCAGCACCATCGCCCCAACAGCAGCAGCAGCAGCTGGCCGCCACACGCACTGGCACCCACACCCACAGCCAGCCACAGCCTGGCAGCAACCCGATGAAGTCGCCCGACTGGATCAAGTTCGTCCCTCAGGCTTACCGAAAACGGGTAACACTCTCGCACAGTGCACTCCTTGGTGCTTGTGGCCCATCCACGTGTGTGTGTGTGCGTGTGTGTGTGTGCGTGTGTGTGTGTGGTTGTCAGGCTGAGGACACCTTCAAGCTGGAGAAGAAGGAGGAGGCCTCACGCACCAGCCAGGGGCAGCACTCACAGCAACAAGACCAAACCAAAGCGAAGGAAGCCGCCGCCAAGGAAGCCCCTCTCCCACCCCCTCCCCCTCCCCCACCATGCCCACAATGCCCCCAATGCCCCCCTCCGCCACCTTGTCAGTGCCACTGCACGTGCCCGGAGTGCCCACACCCACAGCCACATGCACATGCACATGCACACGAGCCCGAGCAGCCAAAGACAGAGGCGCCCACCACACACAAGAAGGCGGAGGCGGCAGCGGCAGCAGCAAAGCCGACGAGCAAGCCACGGAAGAAGAAAGAGGGAGAGGGAGAGGGAGAGAAGGAACCTGAGAAGGAAGCTGGCAAGGTCCCGCTCCCGCCCGCCCCTCTGCCTTTGGTGCCGGAGCATGTGCCCATACCCCCACCAGCAGCACCATCACCGCCACCGCCACCGCCACCGCCACCACCCCCTGCTGCTGCTTCACACCACAAGAAGAGCCACGCCACCACAACGACCACCACTACCACCACTACCACCAAGGCGCCGGGGCCCTCCTTTGACGACGAATTTGTGAAGGAAGAGGCGGTATGCTGCACATATATGGATATATGGATCGATGTGTGTCGTCATGTGTGCGTGTGCGTGTGTGTGTGTGTGTGTGTGTTCAGGAGTTCTCCAGCAGCCACAATGGGGACAACGGGAAGGGCAGCGACAAGGCCCACCACCCGTCTGTGGTGCTGGTCGAGGACAGCGGCAAGAAACACGGGGATTACAAGAAGTTCCAGAAGCGCAACATACCCATCAAAGGCGTCCCCGGCTGGCAAAAGGTACCGTGTAGTCGCCCCCTCTGCCCCCCCCCCCCCCCCCCCCCCC